CTTTGGGATGTCGATTGTGAGCCAGGCCCTCTCGTCCAACATCAGTGTCTGACCTCACGAATGCTCTTTTGGACTGAATGGGCACAAATTCCCACAGACACACTCCAAAACCTTGTGGAGATCTTCCCAGAAGAGCGGAAGCTGTTTTATCCATATTAACCCTCATGGTTTTGGAATGGGATGTCAAACCAGCTCATATAGGTGAGACGATCCGATGTCCACATACTTTTGGCCATATAGTGTGCACCTGACTACAATACTAGTTTGTTTAGACCAGAAGAAGCTGACTGAAGCCCTCAAGCCGGTTCTTTTGGTCCTGCAATAACTTACAGGCCATTATAGGACAATCTGCTGGGGTTAGTTACAACAGAACACATGATGTGATCTTCCAGGCAGCATCATTTTCTTATTTTCTGAGAGCTGCTGCTCAGACTTCACTGATCCTTCCAATGTCTCGGTGCTATAATTCCTTAGAGGCTGCTATGAAGAGCAGGCAGACAGACAAGAGCGGCCGGCAGAACTTGAGCTTGGAGCACAACTGCTCTCTCACTCTCTCTCTCTTTTCCTCTGCTGCCCACACCCAGGGTCTGCTGTGTCCAATTAAAGCCCCTCTGCTCGGCCTGCTCCTCATCCCTATCCATCCTGCACTGCTGCATGAAGAACGGCAAACATTCAAGCAATCATTCAGCAAAAAAAAATCTTATTTAACTGCTTTTGGTGTCCAAACTTTGCTTCTTCACTTTTACAACTGGAGCTATGAAGCTAATGTAGCTAAGTTATGGAAGTCTATGTGGACTAATTAGCATGGCGCTAACTGTAGGTTGTTTCTGATATGGTATAACGTTATCTATAAATGTGGGCTGAACTTCAAAAACTAGGAAAAACCTTACCTCTACAATGATGCCAATTCCTGCTAGCACCCCTATGGGATTCTAGTAGTATTTTAGCACTAAGCTAACAGCAATTTGTGTCCAGTTCATATTACACACAGACATTTGAAGCTTGTAACAGACATTATATCTGAGCTTGTATGTAGCAGTTTTACAGTGACCCTTTCAGTAAAGAGTCCTGTCAAGCCTCGTCGCTCAAATCCAATTTTTTGCTCAAATCCAATCTCTCTGACACGATGGTTCACACTCGTTTAGGTAAGTGATTTAAATCTGTCATTAATGTGATGAACCGGCGTCCTGAAATGACCCTCATGAGCTCATCCTACTCAGTAACGTCACGTGAATGAATCACGAGCATCATCAGCACAAACTAACGAGCAGAACGAGCTTCGCTGAGAAGATAATTAACTCTGATCAGCTCTCAGCTTCATTATTAGAGCGAGACGAAGGAGGAAAAAGGTGAGATGAGCTGCTTTTCCACTGTTTACAGGCTTTAACTTCTGTTCGGCGCTGCTGCCATGGTAACACTGAATGATGGCGCACGCGCAGTGGGGAAAAGAGCACATGAATTCCAATCTAAGCATCACATTAAGGTCTCATGGCCACGAATCGGATACATATGAGTCGCATTAGGGCAAAAAATCGGATTAGTGCCACTTCAAACTGGTAATGCGAACGTAGCCATAGAGCTGCCGCTGCTGTTTTACATTCCTAACTAACCAGAACCTGCTTAGATTACGCCTCATATTCACACTCAGTGACGTATCTAGAACTTCCAGAACAACTAGAGTGATGTTATGCTTATAACAATTGGTCTCATCGTAAATCAAAGTGTGATTGGTGGATTCCTAATTATGGTTGTTAATCTAATGTGTAAGGCTTTCAGTCCAACTCCTGAAGTCCTAACCAATAGGGTGGCAGCTTGGCTACCTAGATACCACAGAGAAAACAATCCTGATTAGTGCTTCAAGAATTTAACCCATTTTTAATTTTCTTTCTTTTATTTTTTACACAGAAGTCATTGTGCCTCCAGTGCTATAACTAAAGGAGCAACAGTCATATTTGGGGGGAAAAAGGGAAAAAATATAATAATATTTGACTTTCCCAAATTATTGCTTTCACATAGAGATGAAAAAATGCTTTTTTTTCCCTAAAGGCACTGTCTCTTCATTAAAGGGTTGAATAATTTTGTAAGTATTGCAATTATAAAGTTCTCAGGGACTAAAAGGTCAAAAACATAATACAATCACAGAAACGACTTTCCTTAATCTCTAACACAGTGCATTACAGCGTCCACCTGTGCAGATCTGTATTTGTCATCTCAGCAGTTTCACAACATAAAAAAGTTTTTTGTTTTGTTTTTTCCTATTTTTTATTCTGACCCAAGGTTATAAACTCATACAGTCGAACTGCTGCGGGCAGGACGGGCTCTAAGTGAGCCGGCTTTCCAGGGCGATTCACCGAGACAGAAAGTGCACATATTTTGAGGAGGAGTGTGTGTGGGGTGGGGGGTGAAGGGGGGGTGGCGTACAAGATATTTCCTCAGTGCTGCGGTAAGAAAATCAATAGGTACACTGCAGCTCCAAGCCAGGCTAATTGCTTCTCAAGTGTGCTGCATTGTCCTGTGCGATACAGCCAGTGGAGCGAGAGTACCCTCTAATGGACATGTCTATAATAACAGTCTCTCTACATGATAATAGTCAGGCCAATTGGCCTAATCATATCACAAATATATAGAATCATGGCAATAATAATAATAATAATAATAATAATAAATAATAATAATAATAATAATGAAGAAGAAGAAGAAAACTAGCATACTTTATACACAGAAATGTAGCTCAAGATGATTAGCAAGTTTTTATAACGTACAGTAATTTTCATCATAATAATGATAGTACTAATATGATGTATAATATGTACATAGATCTATATTGTATGTTCATAGACCATATATTTTAGAATGCATGAAAAAAAACAAACATGAGCATAACAAATTATTTACTGATTTACTTACTTACAGTAGCAGTACATAAACATTGCTTAGAAATGCAGATAAAGTTGCTTTCTAACTATGTACAAATAAAGCTAAGCATAAATGAAAGCACAGTTAAAAAAAAGAAAAAAAAACAAGTTAAAACTGAAGTTAATATTCCTAAATAAATGTTGAGTGCTTTATAAAAGACCCACATTTTTCTTAATTATATTTTTTCCTCTGTAGTTCACTTGTGTTTTTTTTTTTAAAAAAAGTCATAACTCATTCTTAAATGACCGTTTCTCATCCTTTCTGGGTCCCTTAGTATTAAACAGCCTGTGACTTTGCCTTTAAGACTCATGCATGTAAATAAGCTCTGTTCTGATTGGCTGCTCTGTATTGCACCTCATTCAAAAAGCAGTCCAGGCTTAGACGCTCCTAATAACTTCAATGTGAGTGGGTGGGGCTAAACTGCTGCAAGCTGAATAGGTGGATATGTGTAAATGTGATGGTTTTCAAGTTACAGGTTATAACTTTAGCAGAAGCATCTCATAGAAGCTGTAATCAGTAGGTAGTTCTTCAAGTACTTCAAGAGAAGAGAAGAAAGCAAAAATCAACTTCTTAGCACTTTATGCACCGCGGTGTGCACTGCCTGATACCTGAGACATCATTTTACAACAGTTTTTGGCCTAATTTGTGTATTTATAAATTCATTCATAGTGAAAAAGTACATGCAAGGCCTCTAATTCCCAAAGCAAACTAATTTTTTCAGACTCTCACTATGTTACCTTCACCATCATTCCATATTAAGACTCTGGTGGTTCACTGGTGGTTTTGGATAGTAAATAAAATGGCTATATTTGTGTTGTAGACATGGTGACCCCTGGTTCCTATCACTACCACTGCAGAGGCGTAGCCAAGGGGACCTTTATAGCCACCCCGGTATTTAAAGTGATACAGTCAGCCAATAAAGCATCAGTGATGCTAATGGTGAAAATCTGCCCTCAGGGTACCAATCAATTATGAGAGTGTGATGATGCTGCATAATAATTAGTGTATCTTGCTGTGATTGGCTAATGTACAGCAGACAGGTGAGTGACTGTGGGCTGGGCCCTTAGCAGTGCTGCTACATTATGAAGTCGGCTGCTAGTTAACCATCAAACATTGGTCAACTGTAATCATTTATCATGCCAAGTTCTTTTTACAGCAGAATATATGCATGTGCTGTACAGTGCTGAGCTTTCAGATCATTAAACTGTATAACCTGTAGCGAAGGCAACCTAAATGAATAACTACTTTCTATACAATATTTTTTGTTATTGTTAATACTGCGCCCTAAAAAAGTGATGCCTGTAATTTACTTGATTCAAATCCATAATTTCCTCATGAATAACTAAAACATGTCACATCAGCACAGTTTTGTCTTCCTTTTAGTTGTACTGGTGTAATATTTTATTCACGTGGAAATGGGCAGATGTAGTTGCGTACAGAGAAAAACAAATGCATCACTTTTTTACGTCAATTTAATATGGAGCCCTGCTGGTGACATGCCATATAAATAAAAATAACACGTTGCCACCCCTTATTAACGCGTGGGAACGAGATCCTGATGCATGGCCACTAATTAGTAAGGTGTGGGAATGAGATAATTAAGTCGTGGCCACAATTCAGTAAGGCGTGGGAATGGGATCATGCCTTGCAAAGTCGTGGCCCTGCATCAGGATCTCGTTCCCACGCCTTACTAAGTCGTGGCCATGCCTTGTGCATTTTTATTTATACAGGACGTCACCAGCGGGGCTTCGTATTTTAATACAGTAACACTATTTTATTTAGGTTTTTCCTAGCAGTGTGCCACCCCAATCAAATTTCTGGGTCTTACCTGGCCAAAGTTCCAGCCACGCCCCTGCACAGAAATCTGAGTCTGTAAGAGTCTCTGCAATCAACCGCTTCACACCAAACCACTCTGAATCACTCTGTTTGCATCTTTAAACACTGAATTATGCAGAGTATTTGAAAAACAGGTGGAGTTGCCCTTTAAGTCGTTTTGCTGAAGCTTTGCTGTGGAATCCGCCCCCCTGCATAGCGAGCGGAGTCGGTTGTCATGGCAACGCGCCTGTAAACACGCCGGGAGATTCAGAATCGACGCGCAGCTAAACTACATTTACAGTTTGTGTGTAAATTCGGTTTGTTTGTTTGTTTGATTGTTTGTTTGTTAGTTTGTTTGTTTCTCAGTCATGGCTTCGTGCTTAGTGCCAGACTTCCCTGCTGTTAAGGTCGCTCTGGAACATCTAGGAGACTTAGGTAAGGAAAAAAAACACTAAAAACTGAACCAAACGATTTTAACCTCACATTCACGGGTAAATTAGCCGGATTAGCTCGCTGAGGTAAACAGATCTGAACGAGCTGGACGGTAAATTAGCCAAACATCAACCAAAGTCAGCTAATCCGCCTTTTTATGCAGAGGAATTTGTTCCAAATCGAAATGCAGTCACTACAAAGTTAGCTAAAGATGGTTCTTCAGGGGTTCTTTAGTAAAGGGACTGTTTCTGTGCGTGGTAAAATGGTCCTAAAGACTGATGGAGAACGTGTTGTAGCATATGGATCTGTATAGAACCTTCAGAGACTGGTTCTATATAGTACCAAGAAGTGTTTTTCTGTTGTCACAAGAGTCTCGTCCTTGATGTTGTAACAGCAAAACCCTTTTTGGTACTATGTAGAACCATTCACAACACATTCTTTATCAATCTGAAGAACCATTGCATCATTAGAACCTAGTGTTCTATAGCTATAGAACCATTTCATGCTTAAATAGTTCTTTGCATGGTGAAAGGGAGAACGTGTTGTATATGGATCTTTATAGAACCTTCTGAGCCTGGTTCTATAAAGCACCAAAAAGTGTTTGCTTGCTGTTACAAGAGTCTCGCCCTTGATGTTGTAACAGCAGAACCCTTTTTGGTACCATTCACAACACATTCTTTCTCAATCTGAAGAACCATTTCACCATTAGATATAGCTATAGAACCATTTCATGCTTAAATAGTTCTCTGCATGGTAAAATGGTTCTTCAGACTGATGGAGAATGAGTTTACAGTTCTGTATAGAACCTTTCTGAAACTGGTTCTATATAGCACCATTTCATTCTCTTTCTGTTGTTAAGAGTCTGGTCCTTGGCGTTGTAACAATAGCAGAACCCTTCTTGGTACTATACAGAACCATTTACAACACATTCTTTAGCAATCTGAAGAACCATTTCACCATTAGAACCTAGCGTTCTATAGCTATAGAACCATTTCATGCTTAAATAATTCTTTGTATGGTGAGATGGTTCTTCAGATTGATGGAGAATGTGTTATAAGGGTTCTGCTGTTGTTACACTGTCAAGCTTGTAACAATAACAGAACCCTTTTTGGTGCTGTATGGTTCAGAAAGGTGCTATATAGAACTATATACAACATTCTTCATCAATCTGAAGAACCATTTCACCATGCAGAGAACTATTTAAGCATGAAAGGGTTCTGTATAGAACACATGGGTTAACAATGAGGTGAAACATTATTTACTTAATTTGTAAATGATAAATCAGTCGCCCATTTAAAGAACATGAATCAAATAAAGAGCCACACTGAAAGCAAGAGGCGACTGTGTATATTTATACTACAACACTGTGGTGCAGGTGTAGCAGCAGCATCCAAACACAGAGCGAGTGCTGATAATGCACTGCTACACTATACTTAAACAGTAGAACCCGAGAGGGAGTGTGTTATCACGAAATAACGTGATAAAACACTCCCTCACGATAACACACAACCTCAATGCTTTTATACAACAGTTCAATAAATAAAGTAATAAATTAATAAACTGGGCCGTGAACGCGGCGTTTAATATGTTTTAATGTTCGCAGTTCCTTCACCAAATTATAGTTCCTTAACGAGCAGCTTGTTGCTACGTCAGAGTAACGAGCTCCGCCCACTCGCTGCACAGCCGGCAGTTCGTTCTCCAACTCCTTACACTAAATTACCAAACTGTCATCACCACTGAGCAGCTCTTCAGTCGGCAGCTGTGACAGAAGAACAGCTAAACAACCTGGAATCAGCCAGAAATGAACCCAATACCATTCAACAAACGTGTAGTCTGATCTTCAGAGTCTGACTAAATCAGACTGAGCCCTAAAACTGACGCAATATCAAGTTTAGCTCAGTTGCTGGATCAACATTGATGTTGTTTTGTTCCAGCCAGTCTGTAAAGCATCTTACAGCCCATTTAGTTTGGCGAATGGTTTTGGGTTCATTTCTGGCTGATTCCAGGTTGTTTAGCTGTTCTTCTGTCACAGCTGCCGACTGAAAAGCTGCTCAGTGGTGATGACAGTTTGGGAATTTAGTGTCTCATCTTCAGAGTCTGACCAAATCGGCTGTCGGTCAAATGTGATCTTAAAAGTGTCCATTTTCTGTTTGTGGCAAAGTAAGAAGTAAAAACGTTCAAATGGCTTAAGTGTCTTCTATAGCTGTCAAAGTCGTTGCTTAGCAACGGAGTCTCAGCGGAGTGATACAGTGTCCGTGAAAAAATGGTTAGAATGCTTCTCAACCAATCAGCTTGCATGGCTGGAACTAACTGTTGTATAATGTGCAATACAATACAATGACATTTTATTAAGCCCTCAATGGAAATTAGGTTTTTTATCTGGAGCGAACGTGACAACATGCTTTCTTTCAGATAAGCGGCTGAGGGAGGAAGGCATGTCATTCAGTCAAGAAGCAAGTCATCACCTGAGAGAAATCGCAGACGCTATTAAAGAACTGGTAAATCAGCACATTTCCAGTTTGATTGCTTTGCTCTGTTTAACAGCTTTGGGTTGTTGAAACATTCATTAGTGCAGCACAGAAATGAGTCAGCGAGCAGCAATGAACGCTGACTTAATGTGCTATTAGCGTGTCAAATGTGTGTTCCATTGGCGAGGGCAGAAATTGATTTTTGAGTTTATTTTTCTTTCCTCATCAATTAGACGTCCTAAGTGGACAGCCAGGAAACAAGCGTACTACACCAGGGGCCTGTATCACGGAGCACGTTCAACTTAGACAGACGTTTCAGCTTCACAAAGCTAACAAACACCACTGTTTTATGACAGCAGTTAACAACTTTCTCTGTTAGGGCAGGTTGAGATACTCAAGATCAGCTGAAGCTGTCGGAAGAAAACCTCGTATCTCCATTTTTGCTGGTTTTCAGTTTTTGATATACCGATCAGGCATAACATTATGACCACCTCCTTGTTTCTACGCTCATTGTCCATTTTATCAGCTTCACTTACTATATAGGTGCACTTTGTAGTTCTACAGTTACAGACTGTAGTCCATCTGTTTCTCTGATACTTTGTTAGCCCCCTTTTACCCTGTTCTTCAGTGGTCAGGACCCCCATGGACCCTCACAGAGCAGGTACTATTTGGGTGGTGGATCATTCTCAGCACTGCAATAACACTGACGTGGTGGTGGTGTGTTAGTGTGTGTTGTGCTGGTCTGAGTGGATCAGACACAGCAGTGCTGCTGGAGCTTTAAAAACATCAGTGTCACTGCTGGACTGAGAATAGTCCACCAACCAAAAATATCCAGCCAACAGCGTCCTGTGGGCAGCGTCCTGTCACCACTGATGAAGGACTGGTGGATGACCAACACAAACAGCAGCAGATGAGCTATCGTCTCTGACTTTACATCTACAAGGTGGACTGACAAGGTAGGCATGTCTAATAGAGTGGACAGTGAGTGGACACAGTGTTTAAAAACTCCAGCAGCACTGCACAATTACCTAAATAGGCCTTTTAAATCACATTTGTTTGCCATGCTGAACTGGTGAACTTCATCAGCTGGCACCACAACTGCCAGCTCAGCAATTATCTCACCAACCTCCCCATTTTCTGTCTTTTGTATTGGTTATAAATGCTATGACAAACACCATATCCTCTATTTTCCTTTTATTAGATGGATCTCTGATGGACTGGGTGGGCCTATATCTAATCCTGACAGGCCAGACCACCCAGGCCTTCCAACTCTATGGATCTCTATGTCTAATTACCTCACTGAACTCCCTATTTGTCTTTTGTATTGGATATAAATGCTATGACCAACACCATATCCTCTATTTTCCCTTTATTAGGTGGATCTCTTTTTGACTCTATGGATCTCTATGTTTAATCCTGGTAGGCCAGACCACCCAGGCCCTCCAACTGCTGCATCCTTGTGGTGTGGGTTCATTTTATAACCAGCAAAAAGGCTGTAATGTTTTTTAAATGCCTTCTCTTCTGATTTAATACAACAGTGGCAACATTTGGTAGTTGAATAACTGGATTTTTTGTCATAAACTGCTCAAATCAGAGGAAAACTCCAAAACCTGCTCCAATAAATCCAACATTCCTTTTTTTTACTTTTTTGTTTTGTGTGTTATAAGCAGTAAGTCATGCTATTTTACCCAACACAATTATAGATAATACCTTTTTTGTTATTATTCAGGTTTAGGTTTGGATTTGAGTTCGAGTTTGAGTCTAGCAAAGCAGCTAGTTAGCTTTGAAGTTAGAAAAGATAGAACTGTGTCTGGAACGAACAGGAAAGCCAGGAAAACAGCTTTAAAGTACAGTAAACTTAGAAATCTTACCACAAAGACATTTTGGAAGAATTCCCAATCAGTCCAGGCCCTCTGAATGTGGAAAAACAAACCAGTGGCTTGGTGGGTGAAAGGGTGATTTGAGGTGTGACTGGTGCCAAACTTCATTAAGCCAGAATGAAACTTCATAATAAAAGTCATGACCTGTTAAACATATATAGGTTGTTGTTCTAAAAACTAGTCAAAATATTCACATCTCTTTTTGGCTCATTGCATACTTCTTAAATACTTATTAATTTTACTTATAAATACTTATCAATTAATTAGGTTAATTCTGTTTTATTTTATTTTAATGTTCCTTGTGTCATATTTTCTCTTGAATATTTAAAGGGTCTTTTTTTCATGATATATGTCACATGTGTCAGGATACAGTCCTCGTGGGCCAAAACACTTTGATTTCAGCACGTTGCCTCATTAAACACACCTGATTCAGCTCATCAGCTAATTAGCAATGCCTTCATGAACTGAATTCAGAACATTAGATGAGAGTAGACACTAATATCTGCAGCACTTCGGCCCGGAAGGTCAACAGTTTGACATGCCTGATATACGTTGTTGGGAGTGGGCTTTAAACATAAAGTCTACACCGATCAGGCAAAATTAAAGATTATGACCACCTCCTTGTTTCTACGCTCATTGTCCATTTTATCAGCTCCACTTACTATATAGGTGCACTTTGTAGTTCTACAGTTACAGACTGTAGTCCATCTGTTTCTCTGCATACTTTGTTAGCCCCCTTTTACCCTGTTCTTCAGTGGTCAGGACCCCCATGGACCCTCACAGAGCAGGTACTATTTGGGTGGTGGATCATCCTCAGCACTGCAGTAACACTGACGTGGTGGTGGTGTGTTAGTGCGTGTTGTGCTGGTACGAGTGGATCAGACACAGCAGCGCTGCTGGAGTTTTTAAACAGTGCCCACTCACTGTCCACTCTATTAGACACTCCTACCTTGTCAGTCCACATTGATGTGAAGTCAGAGACGATAGCTCATCTCTTGCTGTATAGTATGAGCTAAACATCCTCTAGTCCTTCATCAGTGGTGAGTTTTAAATACCTCAGCGTCACTGCTGGACTGAGAATAGTCCACCAACCAAAAATATCCAGCCAACAGCGTCCTGTGGGCAGCGTCCTGTGACCACTGATGAAGGACTAGAGGATGACCAACACAAACTGTGCAGCAGCAGATGAGCTATCGTCTCTGACTTTACATCTACAAGGTGGACTGACAAGGTAGGAGTGTCTAATAGAGTGGACAGTGAGTGGACACAAACTCCAGCAGCACTGCTGTGTCTGATCCACTCGCACCAGCACAGCACACAGTAACACACCACCACCATGTCAGTGTTACTGCAGTGCTGAGAATGATCCACCACCCAAATAGTACCTGCTCTGTGAGGGTCCATGGGGGTCCTGACCACTGAAGAACAGGGTAAAAGTACTCACCGTGTGTACTCACCGAGACAAATTCCTTGTACGTTTATTATAGACCCGTTTAGTCCTGGTCATTCCATGCGTCTTGAGTATCAGGATCATACCTGGATATAGATGATAAAGTGTAAATACATTCGTCTCCCCAAACCACATTCAGCAATCAAAACTCCTCCCAATAGTTACTCCTCCCCCTGCTGTTCTGCATGTGGGGTGAAAAACGCCCACTGGACTGGCCACCACTGAACAGAGGCTCCTCTGCTTCTTCCACGAGTTTCTTTACTCAGTTTGATTCGGTAGCTTTCAGCGGCCGAGCTAGTTAAAATAAACCCAGTGTGGTTTAATTCACCTCATTGCTGTTCACTGTCTCACTTCAAAATATCTTTTTATGTTCTTGGTTCATGAATAACACAGAAGACTGTTTATTATAAACAATCACCTTTTTGTAAACACTGATGTAAAGCTGCTGTAAGGATGTGAATCCTATATGGAAAAAAATTTATGGACATGTATAGACATTACACTGCAAATACTAAAATGTATTTCAGAATATATTGCTAAATTAACCAAATACATAAAATGGTTTAAATCATATTTAGTTAATAGACAGTTTATGGTTTCACTGGAAAATCAATCTAATCAAATATAATATTGTATATTTTCTTCATTTATATAGATTGTTTCTGCTTCTTCTATTTTTGTGCTCCCTTTTACTTAGTAAGTTTTTATTTATATAGTGTTTGTATACTAACTTGTAGTTCAGAAGGTACACTCTTAAAAAAGATGGTGCTTTAAGGGCTCCTTAGGAAAGAAAATGATTCTAGATAAAACCATGAGCGCTCAAAGAACCCTTTTCATGATTAAAGGGTTCTTTGCATCATGAAAGTGTTCTTCTGTGTGAATGATCTATAGACAGTTCTATATAGAACATTTTGAAAAGGGTTCTATATAGCATGTTCACCATCAAAGTGAAGAATCCTAAAGTTCTTTGAGTGTACGTGGTTCAATATAGAACCATTTTCTTTACTAAAGAACCATCTTTTTAAGTGTGTATGATAATAAACTCATGAATCTTGAATCTAGAAATTTGTATAAAATAATCTTTTTTTGTGTCGTTGAACACAAGATTCTAATCCACCGTCGTGAATGCTGGGTCAGCCACTCAGGCAGAGTTTTAAAATGGTTTAAATCATATTTAGTTAATAGACAGTTTATGGTTTCACTGGAAAACCATTCATCAAAAAAATCCTGTGGGGTTCCACAAGGTTCAGTTTTAGGGCCTTTGCTTTTCTCTTTGTACGTTACCTCTAGGTGACATCATTAGGTAACATAATATCAAATTTCATAGCTAAGCTGATGACACACAATTATACATTTTCATTCCTTCTGATGATCAAGGCTCTGTTGATAGGCTGACCAGTTGTTTGTCAGATTTTCTCAGTCGATGTCGCAAAATTTTCTACAACTGAATCACTAAAGAACTGGAAGACTAATCGTTGGTACTAAAACTCAGCTGCTTTATGAGAAGCTCTGCTTTTCAGCTTCAGGTACCAAACTGGAAGTAGGAAACCTGGGTGTGATCAAGACTCACTTATCATCGATGAGTGAATGTTTTGAAAAGGTATGTAAAGTATGATCATATCTCATTTTCCCACAATACTTTTTAGGAGGCGTCCAGAAAAGCAGCTCACGAGGAACTGGAGGTGGAAACAATTGAAACGAGCAAACTCCGCCATCAGGTTGTGAGCCAGCGCCATGAGATCATGAATGAAATATTGGGTAGGTTAAATGAATCTTACCTGCACCAAACAAATGACTTCAGTGTCTCAGTGTGTGCGGCGGCTCACCTCTCATCTCGCACACGCGTCCTTTTCAAACAGAATTAAGCTGAATTGATTTTGTTGATTTGTAGCCGGCGTGGCCGCCGCCAGAGATGTCAACGCAGCTCAGCTGAATCAACTTCAGTCGGAGATGAAAAGTGCTGTGGAGGAAATAGAGTTCATGGAGAGGAGAAGGAAACTCCTGGAGGAGGAAAATGCCATTCTCCTGTGAGTGCTATCGAGCGGGAGAGATTGAGGTGGAAGGTGGTGGCACTATTAGATGTCCCTTTACTTTATCTCGGTTCTAAAATCGAGAGCAGAAAATGAAAGTTTGTCTGGCACAACATGCAGGGAAATTCAAAGGCCTGGACCATCTGAGACCCCATTTCTTACAGACCCCCTTTAGTGGTTTAGGAGAACAGGCCTGGCCAAAATGCAGATGTTTAGCGTGCATTTGCAACACACAACAGACTATGTTGCCTCAGAGCAACAAACCCGTTTTGCTCACTTTTTAAATGCAATATACATATTTAATGACAATAAAAGGGGGAAGAGTTTGAATGAACCAATAAAACTTTATTTACACTATATTTCTGTTTTATTAGTGACGTCAGTAGTTTTTGTTTAGAAAATTCTGATTACTTAAAAAATATTTGATTCTTTTTATGTTTTAGTATGGTCCTTACTGCAGTTGTTGATTTTAAATGATTGTGCGCATGAAATCAAAACTTAATTTTGTTTATTTTTCATTTTTAATATTTAAAGTTCAACAAATTGTGTTACTTAGTTTTGATCCAAATATTTAGATTTTAAAAAATCCTATCACACAGTGTTGCTCAATGTTGCTCAGCTGCTGCTGCACAGTTTGTGTTGGTCATCCTCTAGTCCTTCATCAGTGGTCACAGGACGCTGCCCACAGGGCGCTGTTGTAGGTGGACAATTTTCAGTCCAGCAGCGACACTGAGGTGTTTAAAAACTCCAGCAGCACTTTTATGTGTGTACAGCTGTTCAAAGCTGTGTTTGCTAGACATGTACTGGCTAGCATTTTTGATTTCATCTCAAAATGAGCTGCAGTCACCACTACCGAAACAGTCACTACTGAAACGTTTGGTAAATGTTTCAAAATAAAAATAAAAGAAACATAATTTCAAATTTACTTTCAATAAAATAAACATAATTAAGGTAGAAGGTCACTCAAAGCAAAAAGAGTTTTTGGTCCAAGTCAGTTAAAAGTCCAAAATATGTTTTCAGTTCTAAATTTGAACCAGTTTCGTTTTGCTAATTAAAGGAAAAAAGCAAATCCCCTTCTGATGACGTATCCTATAGGTGGGAGGAACTCCGAGCACTCTGGGGCGTGTACTTGAGGGTGGGCTGTTTGAAATGTTTAAGCTGGTTAATACAGTTAACATTACTATGATGAAGCCGACTATGACGTCTGTATTTATTGGCCTCTACATTGGTGGTGCATCAGTGGATTTCTTTACTGTCACAGTTGTATGTTGTAGCTGTGTATGCTTGGTGCATGCTGGGTATTGTAGTGGGAGAACACTATTGGCTGGAAACACAGAACAGATACAAAATTGTGATTCTGTCAAACTGACCCCTTTAAAAATAGACCTGATTCCAGTATGAGGAAATCACGTTAATGAATCCGAGGAGTAAAGAGGGAAAAAATGTATAATCAACCACTTTTCCCTCAGCATAAAGAGATACAGTGACAGTTTTCATTGTGGCTGATCTGTGAGGAACGTTGTTCCAGGCCGGAGCGAGAGCTGATAAAGGCCAGCCGTGCAGAACTCGTCGACCAGCTCAACGAGCAGCTGTCAGAGAAAGCCGACATGCAGATCGCTCTGAACGAACTGATGAACGACATCCAGACCACAAAGGAGAAGATCGCTCAGGTGGAGACGGCCAAAAAACATCTGTCAGACAGCATGACCCAGGAGAGGAAGAAGTTCGCAGAGACGAAGGAAATGCTCCAGAAAGAGGTACCCAAGTAATATCGCTGTCTATTAAAGGGCCCATTTCCTACATAGTTAGAAATGAAGGTTCTGTTCAGGTACATTTCTCGTTCATCAAGGTACAAACAGTGTAAATGTTCCCTCAAAGCTCCAACAGTGGTTTTAAGGTCTGATTGTGAACCTTAAATAAGTTTCTCCAGGTGAAAAGTTCGTATTTGTACCTTTTCATAACCGAATGTTTTAAAACAGAACAGTAAACTAAAAGCCTGGAGACGAGACGGGGTGTGTGGAGTCAGTACAGCTTAGAACATATCATTTCAGTGGATTATGGTTCAGTTATGTTCCCTGACTAAAGGGACTGAGATGGACCCTTGAGGGTCCCACCAGAGTGACAAGAGGGGCACTGACCCAGTGACGGTTTAGTACCTTTATTTCTGAGAATGGACAGTTGCATATTATTGTTTCCCCTCTCACAATGATGAAACACTCCTTATAACTATAGTGAATGGGCGGGGCTATATTGCAGCTGGCTAAAAAGGTGGATGTGTCTAAAAAATGCAGTAGTTTTTGTGACATCACAAAACAGGGAAGCTGTATTTGCAGCTTAGTGAACATACATGGCCTAAACGGCCTGTGGAATGAATGATATGTTTTAAACCTTTAACAATGTTTATATACAACATTGAACTCTTTTATTTAAAAATAGTGGGAAAATTAAGTTTTCCATTATACAGGCCCTTTAATGCAACAATGCAATGAGCCATGAGAGGAGTGTTGTTAATTGTGGTTATACAACAGTTAGTTCCGGCCACGTAAGCTGATTGGTTGAGAAGCGTTCTAACCGTTATTTCACCATAACATCACGTTTTTTTCACAAACACTGTATCACTCCACTGAGACAACGTTGCTAAGCAACGACTTTGACAGCTGTAGGAGACGCTCACTTTTAAGATCACATTTGACCGACAGCTGATTTGGTCAGACTTTTCAGTCGGCAGCTGTGACAGAAGAACAGCTAAACACCCTGGAATCAGCCAGAAATGAACCCAACACCATTCGCCAAACTAAATGGGCTGTAAGATGCTTTACAGACTGGCTGGAACAAAACAACATCAATGGTGATCCAGCAACTGAGCTGAACATGATATTGCGTCAGTTTTATGGCTCAGTCTGATTTGGTCAGACTCTGAAGATCAGACTACACGTTTGTTGAATGGTATTGGGTTAATTTCTGGCTGATTCCAGGTTGTTTAGCTGTTCTTCTGTCACAGCTGCCGACTGAAAAGCTGCTCAGTGGTGACGACAGTTTGGGAATTTAGTGTAAGGAGCTGGAGAACGAACTGCCGGCTGTGCAGCGAGTGGGTGGAGCTCGTTACTCTGACGTAGCAACAAGCTGCTCGTTAAGGAACTATAATTTGGTGAAGGAACTGCAAACATTAAAACATATTAAACGCCGCGTTCACGGCCCAGTTTATTAATTTATTACTTTATTTATTGAGCTGTCCCATAAAAGCAATAGAACACTCGAGGTCATGATGTTATTTCGTGATAACGCACTCCTTCTCGTGTTCTATTGATTAAATCACTGTAATGTAAAGATTCTCATGGTGATAAAAAGGTGGAAAAAATATACACCACTGTTCTATACAGGATCAGATGATAATACACAATAAACAGTAGGCTACGACTGCCAAGCAGGTCAGAGATAAACATGGACAGCGTAATGGTTTTTAATAACTTGGTGCGTTAATACAGAATTTAGATGATGCTCATATAACCATATGCAAATGTTTGGGCTCCCCTGGTCAAATGACATGTTTTGTTGACATTTTAATGCACATGTTACAGCTTATTTGCTGAATTTAACACATTGGGAAAAATTAAGTACAAAAATATGGCCTGTGAAAAAGTTATGGCACACTTTTTATATCTATTTCCAATACAAAAATGCCATATTTAAGTGTGTTCTTTGTAGAAGACGTGTAACTTATTTTCACTTAGGAAGTTAACAAAACATAATTTGATTCAAACTTTTGTGTATGACTGTATATGTGTATGTTGAGTATTTCGCTTAGAAGGATCAGATTTTAGAACCAGAACTATCCATTTTCTTCAGAAAGTGAAGTCATACACTGTGATTTGTATGTTTTTGTGTTACAGATTAACGAAACCATGAACTCCATTCAGGAGCAGAAGGACACGAATGCGAAGATGCGTAAAGTGCTGGACTCTGTTACAGCAGACCTGATGGACAAAGAGGAGAAAGTGAAAGAGAATTCAGAAGTGAGTGGACGGAGAAAACTGTCTGACTTGGTTAATGACGTGTTCTAGTCCATGTTTATGGATCAGAAACCACATGATCAAGTCTGTTAGGCTATGTTTACACAGCAGGTAAAAGTGGCCCGAATCTGATTTTCTCACCAAATCTGATTTTTTTTTCGGCTGTTCACATTATCTTTTAAATGTGATCTATTAGTCTGAACAGATCAGCTCCTAAACTGACCCACATGCATAAAAGAACAGAGCTTCACGGCTCATCCACAGGTAAACAATCATGACTGCCAACGAACACCAGTCACTCCCAGAGGATCAGCTTCATCTTCACCAGCATCACAGGAGCCATCATGAAGCTTCACTGACTGACAGCTGAGCTCATCACCCAGAATGTGTCCGAGCCGTAAAAAGGGCGCGGTCACTTCTTCGGTTCGCGTCCTCGGATTCTTTAAACTCTGCTTTTAGACTTTTAACTGTTCTTTGACGCTGCAGCCTCGTTCTCCTGCGGCTGCGTTCGGACATTTCATTCAAAATCTCTTCAAACACTTGTGATGAGTCTCTTCTAATGTTTTGTACAGAAACATCAGCCTAAATGTTTGTGAGTCTCAGCGGCGCGAAATTATGACGAATGTCAAGTTGGATTGACATAAAAGTTGCATGAATTCCGATCTGGCTGTTCAGACTGAGTTGCATTGCTTCAGATCGGATACGTATCAGATTTCAGTACCACGTATGAAAGCGTCTCAAATCAGAATTGAAAATGTCAGATTCTGTGTGTTTATCTGTTCACAATGCCACACAGACTCACATCTGAGTCACATATGAAGAAAAAGATCCGTTTTGGGCCACTTTTACCTGCTGTGTGAACAAAGCCTTAGAGATTACTGAACATCTCCACATGGTTTGAGGCGAATGTGAGATGCTTTGGGCACAATGCTAATTGGTGGGCTACCACCATTGCTTGTTAGCTACATTAGCCTTGTAGACTCCAGTGCAAAACAATAGAAGCAAACTTCAGTCACCAAACGTGTAATAATATCATAACTAATAATTAATCTTTACTTATATAGCCCTTTTCACTTTAGTTACAAAGCCTCAATGTGCTTTGTGCATGATTTTAATTTAAACATTTGAAAGAATGTTGGCATAGGATAAATTAAATAGCAGCATAATTTCAAAATTTGGAAAAAACACTTCCAGTGCACTAGGCATAAGCTATAAGTCCATACAGTCTATATTTGGAAAATAGCAGCAAAAACTGTCTTTTTTGGATCCACTGGTTTTGTGATGTCACAAAACCCAACTCATTCTTTCAGGAGCCGTATTACAGAAACTTCTCATCTTTTTGTCTTAATTTAAAATCTGACAATTCAAGGTAAGATTTTTTGCAAATTTGAATTACAGAAGCAAATCTGACCTTAACTGAGGAGTCATATCTTAAGTTAGGAAATCTTGACCAACTCAGTCGAAGTCGACAATCAACTGTCATGTCCGTTACCTAGCAAATGACCATACAGCGGAAATGCGAACATGTAATTAAATCGATCAAGTTAGTTAGCCAGACAGCTAACATTAGCTATCGTTACTGACGTAAAAAAGGTCAAACAAAACTAAAGTGCGATAAACTTAACGTTAAATATAGTGTCACCGCTTCATGCTGTTTATCAGAGCGTCGTTTTCCCAAATGCTTTAGCGCTAGTTAACCTTATTCTGTCTAATAAACAGCTGACACCACTGATTTTATCTGACATGTTTTCATCAACATTAATGGGACGGTGGAGATCGGGTCTGCAGTGTATGGGATTTTTAAAATGCTGTTACAAAAAACTCTTAAGTCAAAACTGTTTTTAGTGTAGATTAATGTAACAGCGTTATGCCAGTTATAGTGAACTATGCTGCCTGACACTGCATAAAACCATAGAAACGGACCTTAAACCGAAGTTAGGACCCTGTTTGGGTTCATCCTAAAGTTAGGACAGGATTTAGGAGGTTTAGTCTAGTTAGGATGTTTGTGTGATGCTGTTTTCTTATCTGGAGTTCATGATGAGGTTATGAAGTTAGGAGCTGTTATTCTGTATTATACAACAGTTTGTTTCGGCCACGCAAGCTGATTGGTTGAGAAGTGTTCTAACAGTGCTGTTATTTCACCATAACATCACATTTTCACAAACACTGTATCACTCCACTGAGACGCCGTTGCTAAGCAACGACTTTGACAGCTGTAGGAGACATTTGAACGTTTTTTAATTCTTACTTTGCCACAAACAGAAAATGGACACTTTTAAGATCACATTTGACCGACAGCCGATTTGGTCAGACTCTGAAGATGAGACGACACTAAATTCCCAAACTGTCAGTTGGTCAGTGTGGAGCTGGAGAACGAACTGCTGGCTGTGCAGCGGGTGGGCGGAGCTCGTTACTCTGACGTAGCAACAAGCTGCTCGTTAAGGAACTATAATTTGGTGAAGGAACTGCGAACATTAAAACATATTAAACGCCGCGTTCACGGCCCAGTTTATTAATTTATTACTTTATTTATTTATGAGCTCTGTTGTTATTGGCTGCCTTGTATTGTGCTTCATTCAAAAAAGTAATCTGGGCTGAAACATTCATTATAACTTAAGGGGCTGTATTACAGAAACTTCTTAACTCTGAAATCTTATCTGTTTAGTCACCATGACAACTATAGCACTCGCCTTCGGCCCGTGATGTTATTTCGCGGTAGCACACTCCCTCTCGTGTTATATTGCTCAAATTGCTACTGTCCTAAATTCAGCCCGTACTGAAGTCGTCATGGTGAACAGATAAGATATCAGAGTCAACAAGTTTCTGTAATACGACTATTTTACCATCAACGTTACATATTAAACTCGTGTAGGTTCACTGTCGGTTTTGGATAGTAAATTAAATGGCTATAATAATGTTGTAGACGTGGTGACACCTGGTTCCTATCACCACCACTGTAAAGAAATGAGTCTCTAAGTTTCTCTATAATGAACATTTCTCCTCAAACCACTCAGAATCACTCTGTTTACATCTCAAGGACTGAAATATTCAGAAATTTTGAAAAATTGGTGGAATTCCCCTTTAATCATCCAATATCAGTACCTGATCTCACGAATGCTCTTGTGGCTGAATGTAGTCAAATGCTCACAGCAATGTTCCAACATCTAGTGTGAAGCCTTCCCAGAAGAGTAGAAGCTGTTACTGCAGCAAAGTGAGAACGAAGTCCCTTAAATACCCCTGATTTCAGAAGAAACGCTGGATGAGCAGGTGTTAAAAAACCTATGGACATATAATGCATATCAGTCTTACAGGCACAGTAAGAAAAACAGGCTGTTTAGTTCTAAGGGATAAAGAGAGGTTGGAAAACGGTCATGTACAAAATTATTAAGGACTATTTTTGGTACATAAAGCCACGCAAACATCATAAGAACAGAATAAATGCAAGAAAAGTGTGGGATATGCATGGTAAGGGAATTTAAGGTGGAATGTGTGTTTAATCTTTGTGTTTTAGCACATCTCCCAGCTGGAGAGGAGTATAGCCAGACTGAGCGCTTCACAACAGACACACCAACAGCAGCTGGAGGACAACATCAAAAAGTCTGAGGAGCTTGACAGACAAAAGTAGGCCGTGTTATTGTTCAGCTTATTTTTATTTTGCCTTTGGCTTCTTGTAGAGCTGTCAGTGTTATTCACTTCAACTCAGGTTACTCAGTTTTCAAAACTCATTAAAATGAACACCGATCAGGCATAACATTATGACCACCTCCTCGTTTCTACGCTCATTGTCCATTTTATCAGCTCCACTTACTATATAGGTGCACTTTGTAGTTCTACAGTTACAGACTGTAGTCCATCTGTTTCTCTGCATACTTTGTTAGCCCCCTTTTACCCTGTTCTTCAGTGGTCAGGACCCCCATGGACCCTCATAGAGCAGGTACTCTTTGAGTGGTGGATCATTCTCAGCACTGCAGTAACACTGATGTGGTGGTGGTGTGTTAGTGTGTGTTGTGCTGGTACAAGTGGATCAGACACAGCAGTGCTGGAGTTTTAAACACCGTGTCGCTGCTGGACTGAGAATAGTCCACCAACCAAAATATCCAGCGTCCTGTGACCACTGATGAAGGGTTTCGAGGATGACCAGCACAAACTGTGCAGCAGCAGATGAGCTATCGTCTCTGACTTTACATCTACAAGGTGGACTGACAAGGTAGGAGTGTCTAATAGAGTGGACAGTGAGTGGACACAGTGTTTAAAAACTCCAGCAGCACTGCTGTGTCTGATCTACTCATACCAGCACAACACACACTAACACACCACCACCTCGTCAGTGTTACTGCAGTGCTGAGAATGATCCACCACCCAAATAGTACCTGCTCTGTGAGGGTCCATGGGGGTCCTGACCACTGAAGAACAGGGTAAAAGGGGGCTAACAAAGTATCAGAGAAACAGATGGACTACAGTCTGTAACTGTAGAACTACAAAGTGCACCTATATAGTAAGTGGAGCTGATAAAATGGACAATGAGCATAGAAACAAGGAGGTGGTCAGAATGTTACGCCTGATTGGTTTATGGTTATATGGTTAAGGAAAAGCCTTTAACCTGTATAGAACCTCAGCTTTAAACTATAGTTTCCAGAAGTAGTTCTCGTACAGCATCACTCCACATAACTCAGCTTGGCACTTTTATATTAACAGTGTGTAATCAGCAGTGACAGCCTGAGCTCTGTGATATTCTGCTGGTTAATTTGCGTTACAGTTTTCTGTCGTCAACAGAGAGTCGTATGAGAAAGAGCTGCAAGAGACGAGAGACTCATTTGAACAGGGAATTCAGACCCTTCAGGAGAAGACGGCCGAGGTGAGGAACGTTCTGTGCAAGTGTGATAAAACAATTTGCTTCTCTCCACTTTTTAAAACACTTTTTTTTGAGAAGGAGGGATCAAAACACTAAATCCAGGCTCTTAGATGTCAGATTTAAGGCATCGATTTCCTGCCTGAGGCAAATCCTGCTGAGCTGTCGTCAAATCGAGCTTTTGAAAAACACGGCCTTCAAAGGCATGTTGTGCAGAGATGACCTTTAGCAGAGCCGGGCGCCGGACTGCCCTCAGATCTGCTATAGTTCACACAGACCAACCGGAGGCCATCAAGTCTGACCGTATGAGCTCATGAAAGGCCAAAAATCCCATCATTACCCTTTTAACAGACTCTCCAACAAATTAACCCTTACGCTGGGCATCAAAGGTTTGGGGAGGCTGAGCTTTTCCAAATGTTTTTAACACAAATGATCATGTTTCCTTTAGTCGGTTTGCAATAATGTGCTGTATTTATCAGGCTTATTCAGAGGAAACAGTACCACACTCCTAAAAACGAAGGGGCCAGTTGTCTGGAAATGTCCCAAAGTGTGAAAGTCAGTGTGGAGTTTTAAGCATTGTCACTACTTAAAGACACATTTTCTACAACTAAGTGAGCTTTTTTGTTTTTTAATGAAAAATATTATCATTTTATGTGTGTACACACATAACAATATTTATTTAAAAAAATATTTATGATTTGTGTGTACAGGCCAGCGTTTTTGGGTCGTTCTCCATTTGGAGTGGGAATTCAGGTGGATACGTCCATCAACATCTCCTATTATCATATATGCAGAAAGGAGAGCTTTATTCCAAACATATTTTAGTCACTGGTGTTGTATGAATATGGTGTAACACCAGTGACGGTGACTCCAGTGACATTCTGGTTAAAACTGAGGATTCTGTAAATCGTCTGACTCGTTGGCAGATCAGGTGACCTTGTGAACTGTTTAAAACCAGTAATAAAAATGATATTTATGGCTTTATTTTAACCAAAATTTAATTACCGAGCCATCAAAGCACAAAACACCGGTGATACATAGAAGTTATGAGCTGCCAGATGAACAAAATTATTAATAAATTAATGAAATATAGCGAGCGAGTGTGACTCGACTACTCATGCCTTGAGACACTTCCTCTCTGATGAGCCTCGACCCAAAGAAGCAGTTTAATAGAGCTGAAAATACTGTGTTAAAATGTAAAATAAGAGTCCTGATAACACCAGTGACCACAACCTCTATGACAAATGAATTTTTAAATAAAATACATGTTTTTTAAATGTAGTTTAACATTAATGATATAAAAAGTAAACATGAATCTGTTTTATACAAATTCCTGAGTTAAACCTTTTAAAACACTGTTTTATATTAAAAAGGTAGGAACTTGGTTTTGTGATGAACTGTTTTACAGATGCAGAGTGACTATGAAACAGGATAAAAAAGAAAAATCAGAGAATTATAAGGGCAGAGTGTTATTTAATCTTAGCTCAACTGTGTAAATGTACATACCGATTTTTGGAGCTGTGACTAATATTTTAAGCATCTTTTTAAGCCCTGAAACCTTTTGATATGGTTTCCCCTCCAAACGGAGAATGACCCATTTGAGTTCTGCTCAAAATGAGCTAAAATTATCCCCATTGAAACAATTACTACCAAAGTTTTGGTAGTGTTGTGGCTGTAGTGACAAAATGCTCACACTCAAAGCAGAAGGATTTTAGTCTAGAAGTCCAAAATGACTTTTTTTTCCAAAATTACACTTCAGTAGAACCATCCATGTCAGCATCATCCCAGAATTCCCATACTGGTGCTTTCCTATATATGTATGTAAATGATATATGTTTATATCTTACTTTTATATTATATTAATCTCTTTGAAAGTTTGAAAAAGAAGGCAAAGTGTCCTCAAATCTTTAGTGGCCTGTTTTTCCAGGTTTAGCTGCACATTTATCGACTGAAGAATCTATCCAAACCAATCTTTAATGCCTGGCTGTGTTGGTTTTGTGTTCAGGTGGAAAATCAGCTAGAAGAAGGACGGAAGGTGAACCGAGTTCATCTACAGTCCATCGCTGAGTTATCAGCCAGTTTCAGCGCTCAGAGGAAAAAAGAAGACGATGCCCTAGCAGATCATCACAGCCTGTCCAGACAGTGGGCTTCACTCTGCTACTGTCCACATACTTCACCACACAACAGCTACACTTTTATCACTTTCATGATTTTTATTAGGACAAAAGCAGTGATGTCACCAAAACCCGCAGCTTTTAAAGTATTTAAAGTTCTGCCAGCTCACAAAATGTGAAAATTCAAAACCTCCTGCTCTCTCTCCACCCCACACAGTCCAAACGTAGAAACTTAGCAGCAAAAACATCCCGTTTTGTATTTACTGTTTTTGTGATGCAACAGAAATCAAGCATCTTACAGTGCTCATATTCAGCCTACAGCAGTTTAGCTCCTCCCATTCACTCTGAAGTTAAATAGAGTGTTTCAGCCATGACTTCTTTCTGAAGGAATTGCAATATAGGGCAGCCAATCAGAACAGAGCTAATTTACATCTATCAGTCTTAAAGGCACAGTAACAAATGCAGCCTGTTTAATTGTAATAAAGGATAAAGAGAGGCTGGAAACTGATCATGTAAAAAAGAACTATGACTGTTTTTGTACACAAAACCACACGAATGTCATAAGTTAACCTCAGGGGGAAAAATACAAAAAAGCAGGATATGGGCTCTTAAAAGATTTTTCTAAAAAAAAATTATTTTTTTAATTACAATTTCCTTTTTTTAAAAATGTGATAATTTTATCTTTAAAAAAACATTCAAAAGTTTGTATTTTCTACAATTGTCTAATATTTGGCTTTTTAAACAAAAATATAATCAAAGCAATGATAAATTAAAGCTGATTTTGCTCGTTTCTGTATTTGTGTAAAATGTCAACACATTTCTGCTTCATTTGATGGTGTAAAATGTTTATAAGACACTCCAATAGTTTTACATCAACAATTTCCTCTGTTCCTCTTAAAGCTTTTGTGTAAACTAACTGCAGTTTCTTTCATTCTGAACTTATTTCTCTTTGTTTCCTCTTAGACTGGAAAAGTCCAAGCAGAGGCTCGATGAGCGAATTGCATTGATCGCCAAGTACAAGCTTGAGGTCAAAGAGATGGAGAAAGAGATGAAACAGCTCCAGGAAACCAACATGTATGATGTTATTAATGTTAACCAGTCTAACAGAAAAAGCAACCCTTTAATAAAAGCTTATGGAACAGTTTATTGAAAAACCAAGTTTAATTTTCCCCTCTTACCCCAAATGTAGTCGATCAGCCAAGACGTGTCTGAAGTGTGCCTTATTAGTTTTAGCACTGGAGCTACAAGGCTAATGTAGCTAACAAGTAATGGAAGCTTAGTACTGACTTCAAGTCATGATGGAAATATGCTATATGGACAAAAGTATTGGGACACCTACACATCACACCTACAGCTGGCACAGTGCAGTCAGGCAGGTAACGTTCTCCTGGCATTCGCCAAACCCAGACTCGTCCATCAGACTGACAGATAGAGAAGCTGATTCATCACTCCACAGAATACGTTTCCACTGCTCCAGAGTCCAGTGGTGGCGCTTTACTCCACTCCATCCGACACTTGGCATTGTGCTTGGTGATGTAAGGCTGCATGCAGCTGCTCAGCCATGGAAACCCTGTCATGAAGCTCCTGGTGCAGTTTTTGTTCTGATGTTGATCCAGAGGAGGTTTGAACTCTGCAGTTATTGATCAGCAGAGCGTTGGTGACTTTTATGCTCTATGCTCCTCAGAACTCGGCGACCCGCTCTGTAACTTTACGTGGTCGGACACTTCGTGGCTGAGTTGCTGTGGTTCCTAAACACTTCCACTTTTCAATAATACCACTCACAGTTGATTGTGGAAAATCTAGGAAGGAAGGAATTTCACGAACTGACTTGTTGCAGTAGTGGCATACTGTTACAGCACCATGCTGGAATTCAATGAGCTCTTTAGACTTGTTCTTTTACAAATGTGTGTAAAGGCAGGCTGCATGGCTAGGTGCTTGATTTTATACACCTGCAGCAATAAGACTGAATGAAACACCTGAATTCAATGATAAAGAGGTGTGTTCCAATACTTTTGTCCATATAGTGTATCATAGAAATGAGATGAGCACACATGAACACCACCACAGTGTCATAATTACTAATGCAAAACTCTGATTTTTTCAGAGCATCAAAAAAGGCAGCGGGAGGCGCTGATAGTCGCATTGATAATCTTAATTATTCAACAGCCACACATTAGCACTGTGGGCTAAAATCATTTTTAATGTCTTACTCTCATCCGCACGCAAAAAACACATGAGCATATCGTTAGGGACTGTGTATCGAGTTGGGTTTGAAAAAGATGGTTCTTAAAGGGTTCTTTAGTAAAGAAAATCGTTCTATATAGAACGATGAACACTCAAAGAACCCATTGCATGATTACAGGGTTCTTTGCATCATGAAATGGTTCTTCCGATTGATAGAGAATGTGCTGTGGATGGTTCTATATAAAACTTTTTTGAAAATGGTTCTACATAGCAGCCAGAAGTGTTCTTCTATTGTTACGGTGTCAAGCTTGTAACCATTTTGGTTGCCTTTTAGAACCCTTTTCAGAAAGGTTCTATATAGAACAATCTATAGCACATTCATTCTCATTTTCCATCAGTCTGAAGAACACTTCAATGATGCGAAGAACCCTTTAATCATGCAAAGGGTTTGTTGAGTGTTCAGGGTTTTATATAGAACAATTTTCTTTACTAAAGAACCCTTGAAGCACCTTCTTTTTTAAGAGTGTAGTGGAGACGTTCTTGGGTGTCGTATCTCATCTTGATGCTCCTGAACAGATATTATAAAGCTTGTGTCTAATGTTTCTCTCAGAAACCGTACGTTGGTTCCACGTGGCTGATATTTCACTGTTGATCTGCTGCAGCTCCAAGTGTTTGAACGGATCTGCGCTGATCAGTGCAGGAGAGCAGATTTTAATCACTGCTTTTCGTTTTCGTAATCATTCAAATGATTTGTCGAGTATTTCGACACTTTATTGTCTTTCTGTTTAGTCTTTTGGGTTTTTTCCTCTTTTGGCTGAAACCCAAAAGTGCCACTTCTGCAAGCCTAATCACAGATGTGCAAAATACCAGTTTATCCCAGCATTGTCTGTCCATCAACTCAAGCATTTATCAAAGTAAAGCTCTGTAAAACTGTGTCTGTGCTGATCCATCCCTGTTAAAGTGCATGCAAGCGAGTACTGGTCAGGTTTAGGCTTCACTTTAATGTCCATCCAGACCTCTAAAAAGCAGAGTCAAAAGCTTCAGACACCAAACATGTTTTGCTCAACTCCTTAACAATGCAGGTTTATTTCATACAAAGGTTTATTATTGAGTAACTACAGAGACTTCATTGCAAACTAATCGAGCTATTCCTAGGTTATAGAGGTGTGTAATAAAACTTTGGGCCCACCGTGGCTTGTTAAGGGATTAATTAACTACATTTAGGCTAAAGGGGAAAAAAGCCTTTTGGAGAACTAATCCTGTAACACCAACAACCAAAATATTTGTTTATTGTACTGACAACAGTTTCACAATACCTTTATTTTTGTCTTTGATCTCAGAGTCAACACAGAGCTGTTTCAGAAGAACCTGAAGGACCTCGAAGGTCAACTAGCCAAAGAGAAGAAGAGCAGGTTCAAACTGCTACATCTCATCTTTGCTAATGCATCCAGTTACAGAGATCTTTCCTAACGTTTTACATGTCAATGTTCTGCTCAGAGCAGCGCTCGAGGTGGAGAGAGTTGAACTCTGTCAGTCTCTGGAGACCCTTAAAGAACAGAATGAACAGCATGTGAGAGAACTGAGCTCAAACATAGCATTAATGAAGAAGAAATACAGCGATCTACAAGAGGAGGTCAGAGCCGTTTTGCTACAGTAAAATACTCTGAAAACTCTCACTGATAGTCCATTTGGATCCTAAAGTGGTTTGATGTATTTGTAGAGGGAGAAGCTTCAAGAACACGAAGCCATGAGCTCTTTGATCGACCAACTCACAGACATGGTCTCCAGCGCTGAAGAGGAGTGTAAACAGATGGAAATCAGTTACTGCACTGAAATACAACAACTCACTGTAAGAGAAATCTTATATACTCAGTACTATAACCAGCTTTAGAGTCACTCACTTCCACTCACTGGCCACTTTATTAGAAACACCTGCCTTGTGGTTCCACTAATTGGCCACTTTATTAGAAACATCTACCTTGTACTACCACTCACTGGCCACTTTATTAGAAACATCTACCTTGTACTACCACTCACTGGCCACTTTATTAGAAACACCTACCTTGTACTTCCACTCACTGGCCACTTTATTAGAAACATCTACAATGTATTTCCACTCACTGGCCACTTTATTAGAAACACCTACCTTGTACTACCACTCACTGGCCACTTTATTAGAAACACCTACCTTGTACTACCACTCACTGGCCACTTTATTAGAAACATCTACCTTGTACTACCACTCACTGGCCACTTTATTAGAAACATCTACAATGTACTTCCACTCACTGGCCACTTTATTAGAAACAACTACCTTGTACTTCCACTCACTGGCCACTTTATTAGAAACACCTACCTTGTACTACCACTCACTGGCCACTTTATTAGAAACATCTACAATGTACTTCCACTCACTGGCCACTTTATTAGAAACACCTACCTTTTACTTCCACTCACTGGCCACTTTATTAGAAACATCTACCTTGTACTACCACTCACTGGCCACTTTATTAGAAACATCTACCTTGTACTACCACTCACTGGCCACTTTATTAGAAACACCTACCTTGTACTTCCACTCACTGGCCACTTTATTAGAAACATCTACAATGTATTTCCACTCACTGGCCACTTTATTAGAAACACCTACCTTGTACTACCACTCACTGGCCACTTTATTAGAAACATCTACCTTGTACTACCACTCACTGGCCACTTTATTAGAAACACCTACAATGTACTTCCACTCACTGGCCACTTTATTAGAAACAACTACCTTGTACTTCCACTCACTGGCCACTTTATTAGAAACACCTACAATGTACTTCCACTCACTGGCCACTTTATTAGAAACAACTACCTTGTACTACCACTCACTGGCCACTTTATTAGAAACACCTACCTTGTACTTCCACTCACTGGCCACTTTATTAGAAACATCTACAATGTATTTCCACTCACTGGCCACTTTATTAGAAACACCTACCTTGTACTACCACTCACTGGCCACTTTATTAGAAACACCTACCTTGTACTACCACTCACTGGCCACTTTATTAGAAACACCTACCTTGTACTTCCACTCACTGGCCACTTTATTAGAAACACTACCTTGTACTTCCACTCACTGGCCACTTTATTAGAAACACCTACATGTACTTCCACTCACTGGCCACTTTATTAGAAACAACTACCTTGTACTTCCACTCACTGGCCACTTTATTAGAAACACCTACCTTGTACTTCCACTCACTGGCCACTTTATTAGAAACAACTACCTTGTACTTCCACTCACTGGCCACTTTATTAGAAACACCAATCGTGGTTATGCTCGCTGGCCACTTTATTAGAAACACCTGCCTTGTACCTCCACTCACTGGCCACTTTATTAGAACCTACTAACACAAACAGTGCATCCACAGATGGGCTATAATCTTTAAGTGATGAAGTGGACAGTGGAAGTATGTTAAAATAACGTGTTAACCGTGTCCCCTAACTAAAAGATGGAGGCTGAATCAATCACCAGAGCTCAGCTGGATCAAGAGGAAGTACTTCAAGTCCAAGAATCCGTGTTGAAGGAGGCCAAGGTTCAGTTTGACATCGAACATTCCAGACATGAGACGCTTAAACAACAAACAGCTGGTACAGCCACCACTCCCACTCAGCTGATGGACAAACAGAAAAACAGACATAACACTAACAGTTTAGCGCGCAGACACCTTTACATATGACCCCTCCATGGACACTCAGAGAGCCCTGTGCATGTTTGACTGGTTCGTTGCATCATGAAAGTGTTCTTCAGATTGATGGAGACTGTGTTGTAGAGGGTTCTATACAGTACCCAAAAGGGTTCTTCTATTGTTACAAGCTTGACATTGTCATAGCAGAAGAACCCTTTTGGGTACTACATAGAACCATCCGAAGCACATTCTCCATCGATCTGAAGAACACTTCAATGATGCAAAGAACCCTTTAATCATGCAAATGGTTCTTTGAGTGTTCATGGTTCTAGAACCAATTTCTATACTAAAGAACCCTTGAAGAACCATGTAGTTTTACAGCATTGAAGGATTAATACACCCACGCTCAACATCAACAACTGTCATTGATATTTATTCATTATAAAGGCGAATTTGCCTGTGTTCAACCTGTTTGCTGATGTTTGGCTGTTTGATCTTTATTGTTATTTGTTGTTGTTAAATTGTTATATGTTGTTTATTTATTGTTTTTACCTTCCAGAGATGAAGGCCAGAAAAAATCATCTTGAGCTGTCCATTCAGAAGGTGAAAGAACAAACAGCTGCACTCCTTCAGCCGAAGGTAAAACACTGTACCCTCATTCAGTCGTCCATTCAGCAGGTCAGCGTTACTCATTGATATCTATAATATTTGGGTGACGCTTCATTCTGAGTGTCTTTTTTAGATAATAAACACTCAGCAGACTCTCAGTAACATCAGCAGCGTATCAGTGATGTAGCAGCAGTGAATACATTCAGTAGATTATCAGAGACTTTTAATCTGCTGAATTCAGCTGAGAGGAACTGAACATTAACAGGTTTAATACAGACCATCAGCATCCTCAGCCAGCTGATACAGACACACTGACACCATCCTGAACTGGAGCTGCACTGGATTAGGGTTTGGTTAAGATTAGAGTTAGGATTAGGGCCAGGGTGAGGGTTAGGATTAGGTTTTGGGTTTAGGTTGAGGTTAAGGTTAGGATTAGGGCCAGGGTGAGGGTAAGAATTAGGTTTTGGGTTGAGGTTAACGTTAGGGTTAGGATTAGGGCCAGTGTGAAGGTTAGGATTAGGTTTTGAGTTCAGGTTGAGGTTAAGGTTAAGATTAGGATTAGGGCCAGGGTGAGGGTAGGAATTAGGTTTTGGGTTTAGGTTGAGGTTAAGGTTAAGGTTAGGATTAGGGCCAGTGTGAAGGTTAGGATTAGGTTTTGAGTTCAGGTTGAGGTTAAGGTTAAGATTAGGATTAGGGTCAGGGTGAGGGTAAGAATTAGGTTTTGGGTTGAGGTTAAGGTTAGGGTTAGGATTAGAGTCAGGGTGAGAGTTAGGATTAGGTTTTGAGTTTAGGTTGAGGTTAAGGTTAAGATTAGGATTAGGGCCAGGGTGAAGGTTAGGATTAGGTTTTGAGTTTAGGTTGAGGTTAAGGTTAGGATTAGGGCCAGTGTGAAGGTTAGGATTAGGTTTTGGGTTTAGGTTGAGGTTAAGATTAGGATTAGGGTCAGGGTGAGGGTAAGAATTAGGTTTTGGGTTGAGGTTAAGGTTAGGGTTAGGGCCAGGGTGAGGGTTAGGATTAGGTTTTGGGTTTAGGTTGAGGTTAAGATTAGGATTAGGGCCAGGGTGAGGGTAAGAATTAGGTTTCGGGTTTAAATTGAGGTTAGGGTTAGGATTAGGGCCAGGGTGAGGGTTAGGTTTTGGGTTGAGGTTAAGGTAAGGTTTAGGATTAGGGCCAGGGTAAGGATTAGGTTTTGGGTTGAGGTTGGTAAGGTTAAGTTTTGCGTAATGAAAGTAACATATTAAAGAAACATCTACTTAATGTAAGTAATGTATCAACAGAACATCTACAAGATATTTACCTCAGTGTATTCAGATGATTCACTCCTGCTACTATGCTACTGATACTCAAGGACCACTCAAAATAAAGTGTTTCCAATATTTGGAACATAATATGCCGGTAAAGGAGGATCTGAAGAGGGAGCTGCGGGCTCTGCGGGCCGAGCACATGGAGGAGCTGATTAATCAGGCAGCTGAAATCAGCGCCGCGGAGAGGAGCATCTACGAGAACGGACTGATGTTGGAGCGAGTCAGCATGGAAAACAGTCGACTGCACCTGGTGGGTGACCTGCTAGTTCACTTTTGTTCTACATTAAATGCACAGTAGTAGAGCTTTAAGGCCTGAAGATGTGCGTTTTTGGTTTGTAGAGGATTGAACAAATGAAGGAGGAGCTCTGCAGCACAGAGAGAGAGAAGGAGGAGCACTCAGAGCAGACAGGTCCGGATGAAGGAAGAAATGCAGTCCCTCTGCAGTGAGTCTAGCATTGCTTTTCATGAAACCCTCCCAAAAAAGAGGCAGATCTAATGATCTGCGATGTGGAGAACCTGTTTTCTGGTAGCAGTGTGTCAAATTTTGATTTCGGCCACATAAAAATTACATAAACCGCCATCACAGCTGATATAAACCTACGTAAACATTTATGGTAACACTTTACTTGAAGGGTGTTGACATTCATAAGATCCTATAGAAACACTTCATAACATGTTGATGAATGTTTAAATCAACATTTCTAAAGTATACATGTTTTACATGATATTAATATGGACTTCTATGCCATTTTACTGAGTAATATTTTCAAAATAAAATCCTCATTTTTGATTATGAAAAAGTATATTATTTTCAGTAAAGCGCCTCATTTCTGGACAGCCAAAATAAAAATGATCTTGCTTTACCCTTTGGTCATTAAGTGGTTTGACACTCAGGCATGTTTCAGCTCTACTTTTGACTCCTTTAAAAAAGTCAAAAAAGAAGAAATTGAGTCATTATTCTGATTTACCATGTCAAAACTCGGAGATAACATATTTTTTAGAAGAACATTCAGCATATAAAGTAAAATATGGACATGCTGCCATAAACAGAAGGAATAGAGCTATAAATAGCTATGACAAGTTTGTGGTATGGCTATGTCAGTGTTACGTAGCAGAGTTTAAGTGTTACCTTGATATCGTCGCTGTCCAAAGAAAAAGGAGTATCTCCCAAATAGAAACTGTACAGAAGAAGGGAGAAATACTCTTAATTAATGTAAAGAGATTTTATTCCAAGTGATTTTAGAGCATTTCTATTGGTCCGCTGGTGTGTTGAAATGTTATAGATAAATTAAAAATGTGCAAAAATGGAGAGATAACATGGTTTTCGTTGGACAGCGAATTGAGTTAATTGCAAAGTTTCACCTGTGTTAATTATAACCTGTGTAACTGGCCACGCCCACAAGCACAAACTTTCTGTAGTCTGTTGGTAATTAATTCCTTTTTTAGTAAATATGCCTCTTAGTCTACCACATGAAAGTTTATCATTTACATACATAGCGATCTTTTATTTAATGACTCGTTTTTCTCCTCCAGGTGGTCTGCTGGAGGGCTGGGCCTCAGATAAACTGGCTACTGAGGTACAGTCTGAAATATTAGTATATAATGGCTTTAGCAGCAATGTCTTCATAACTTTTCCTCTCGTTTATGGTGCCAGTCAAAAGTTTGGACCCGAATGAATGTGATAAATATGAAAAGTTGATGGCTTTTGAGTTAGTTTAATTTATTTACTTATTATAAATGATTGGTCTTAAATTATGAATTATTAACCATTGCTTAACACCTTGTCTAGTTGCTGGATAGAAAGCCAAGCAGGTTATAAACTGCATAAAGAGGGGCTGGTTTGAAGAATCGAAAATAAAACTAGCATTTCGCTGCTGTCAGAACCAAACCTGTATCTCCAAAATGATGACTTTATGTTACGGCACGGCAGAGAGGTGGACCCCAGTGCAACTCCCAGTGTTGGAGTTGAGGTGGCTCAGAGCCAGACTCGAAAAGCCAATGTACTGGAGTTACCGCCACCGGGAAGCACAGGCGACAGTGGGAAAAACGCCTCAATGAATGGGAAATAAAAAACGGCGGGAAAAAGGCAAACAAAGGGGACGCTGAAAGCAGCTCAAACAAAGGCTGAGATAGAAAAGTGAAATAAAAGGTAATCAGAAAACAAAAAACACTTCCTCTGTGATGAGAGGAAGGTAGACTTTATGCTTCACCTGTTTGCTCTTTGTGGAACAAACACTGTTTGTATGACTTGGGGCCGTTTGTTGCTCAAGCCTTCTTTTGGTTAAGTAGTTTTGGGGCAATTCCCTGTTTTGTCTTTCCAGCCCTCTCTTCTTTTCTTTTCTTTTCTTTTTAATACCCACCTGGGCTAAGTACCGTACCGGTATCGAGGTTTTCAGAGAAATCTCTCAAGACTACTGTGGCACCACTTGGAGACGAACATGTTTACCACAGACATAGCAGTTGTTTTAATTTAATGGTCCAACTTCAACAACATGGTAATTTGATCCTTTTTCTCGCTGTAGGAATCTACAGAAAGAGACAAAAAGCTCCTCGAAGCCCTGCAGAGCCTAATGATAAAGGTCCAGCAGAGGAAGCATCACATCAGAGACATCAACAGCAGACTGGAGAAGGAGCTAAACGCCATGAGCTCCATGTTAGAGAGTGCTAAACACCAACAACAGCAGGCATAAAGATCCACACAGCTGGCTGATGGACAGCCTGGGGTCGTACCTTAGTACTGAACCTGTTTTCCTTCAAAGGGCCCAGATTCTACACTTTGTAGTGTCTTTCTCCCTGAGGTCTGCATCTGTGAGGCTTTTATGCACCAAAAATAGTCAATGAATTTTGTACATGACTGTTTTCCAACCTCTCTTTATCCCTTACAATTAAACAGGCTATTTTTACAGTGCCTTATAGACTGATATATGGAAATGGGCTCTGATCTAATTGGCTGCCTTGTATTATCCCTTATTCAAAACACTGTTTGGGCTGAAATGTGGAACAAACTAAGTTTAACCGTTTTTTACTGAAGTAACAGACTGTCTGCAGGAGCAACACTCCACATCACTTCAGCTGGAATGGGTGGAGCTAAACTGCTGCAGCTGAATGGTGGGGCTAAACTGCTGTAGCTGAATGGGTGGAGCTAAACTGCTGCAGGCTGAATGGGTGGAGCTAAACTGCTGTAGGCTGAATAGGCAGGGTTAAACTGCTGTAGGCTGAATGGGTGGGGCTAAACTGCTGTAGGCTGAATGGGCGGAGCTAAACTGCTGCAGGCTGAATGGGTGGAGCTAAACTGCTGTAGGCTGAATGGGTGGGGCTAAACTGCTGTAGCTGAATGGGCAGCGCTAAACTGCTGTGGTCTGAATGGGTGGGGCTAAACTGCTGTAGGCTGAATGGGCGGAGCTAAACTGCTGCAGGCTGAATGGGTGGAGCTAAACTGCTGTAGGCTGAGTAGGTGGGGCTAAACTGCTGTGGTCTGAATGGGTGGGGCTAAACTGCTGTAGGCTGAATGGGTGGAGCTAAACTGCTGTAGACTGAATGGGCTGTTACATGTAAATGGATGTGACATCGCCGTATAGACTATATGGACTAGAGCGTGAACAATGTCTACTACAGCAAAGCATCTATTTAAAAAAGTTAGGAAAATTCAGTTTTACAGTACACGGTCAGTTTAATGAACATGCCGGTAGCATTTAGTTTCATTTTGTGACAATCTTGTGATTTACTTAACTTGAAAAAGCACTTCGGACAAACATCCATTTCTCAGAGTTGACACCCAATATTGTATTTTACCCCTTTATTTAAAAACATCTGTGTTCCACCGTTACCTGAACATTTTATTTTATAATATTTCTCATAGTAAAACTCTGCAAAGAGTAAAACTCTGAACATAAATACATTTAAATATACATCTCAAACACTTATTTCTTAAATGTCTATGACCATGAGAGATGATCAGGGATTATACTATAGAGTCATGCTCTCAATACAGTGTGCATATATACACTGACATATACAAATGAATATACATATATGTATAAATGAACAGAACCAGCAGCAAAATCACCATCAAATAAAGACACATCGGAATGGGACAGTTCAGCTTTTACACGGTAAAGATGGTTTAATCAGCAAATGCATGTAGAATATTCACATGCAGTTGAGTTTTCTGGCAGGCACACGTTTTTTGTTTGAATCTTGTGAAAATTTGATAAATAATAACACGAGGGTTTTATTTACACATCATAGAATGTACAGAGGACACATCCATCAATACAACTTCATAAACCTTACAAAGTTACAAAATAAAAAAAGTACCATCCACTTAAAACCTACAAACTCAGAGACATTTAGTGTATTTCTTAAAAATGTGGATATTTACACCAATCAGCCATAACATTCTGACCACCTCCTTGTTTCTACACTCATTGTCCATTTTATCAGCTCCACTTACTATATAGGTGCACTTTGTAGTTCTACAGTTACAGACTGTAGTCCATCTGTTTCTCTGATACTTTGTTAGCCCCCTTTTACCCTGTTCTTCAGTGGTCAGGACCCCCATGGACCCTCACAGGGCAGGTACTATCTGGGTAACACTGACGTGGTGGTGGTGGTGTGTTAGTGTGTGTTGTGCTGGTCTGAGTGGATCAGACACAGCAGTGCTGCTGGAGTTTTTAAACACCTCAGTGACGCTGCTGGACTGAGAATAGTCCACCAACCAAAAATATCCAGCCAACAGCGTCCTGTGACCACCAAACTGTGCAGCAGCAGATGGGCTATCGTCTCTGACTTTACATCTACAAGGTGGACTGACAAGGTAGGAGTGTCTAATAGAGTGGACAGTGAGTGGACACAGTGTTTAAAAACTCCAGCGGCACTGCTGTGTCTGATCCACTCAGACCAGCACAACACACACTAACACACCACCACCACCACGTCAGTGTTACCCAGATAGTACCTGCCCTGTGAGGGTCCATGGGGGTCCTGACCACTGAAGAACAGGGTAAAAGGGGGCTAACAAAGTATCAGAGAAACAGATGGACTACAGTCTGTAACTGTAGAACTACAAAGTGCACCTATATAGTAAGTGGAGCTGATAAAATGGACAATGAGCGTAGAAATAATGTTACGCCTGATCGGTGTATGTGTATATTCTGTGTTAGCGCTGGGCGATATATCGTCAATATCGGTCCCACTGTGATACTGATTCGTAGTTTTAGTGATACTGAAAGATAAAAGTCTGTTAATTAAATATTAAATAAAACCCAAAAATGTACAATGTATGTCACTTGCTTCAGACTGTTTTGAAAAAACAGTCCACGATACATACAAAAGCATATTCAACAGTGAGTTTCCTTTTCTTGTATCTTTGTTGTATTTTCTGTCAGGTTAGCATTTTCAAGGCTCCCTTTGGTGTAACTTTTAGGCTGGCTTTACACAGACAAATTTTCATGCAACTTTGCTTAAAATCTGCATGAAACTACATGGAACAAACTTGAAATCAGCATGCAACTTGAGCTACATAATGTAAAGTGTCCTGCAACTCACTTGAAGCCGCAATAGTTGCAAGTGTCTCAACTTCGTGAAAAAAGTTTCATGAAACAGCCAATCAAAACGCTGATAACGCATCACATGATCATGTTGGATGACATATATCCAAACGATTTTCACCGCATCAATGGACAAGACAAAAAAACAAGATTCTTGACAGCTGGAAAAAAATATACGAAGATGATAAAAATGCTGTAAAGGACATCAATTACATCTCACGGGTGAGTTTACAGCGAGAATGATACAGTGTATCAAAAAACGTGTACAAATGACAAAAAATAAAAAATAAAGGAGAAACTGATTGTGTTGCGTGCAGCTTTGTTTTTGAATTGCTCTGTGTAACTGTCAAGTTGCACGGAAATTATGTTGCAGGCAAATCACAACATGCAACTAGTTGTGTAGAAGTTTCCCCATCTAAAGACAGCCTAAGAGAAGCAGACTAAAACAAGAGTCCAATCAAAACAAGCTGTCACGTTTATAAGATAAACTGTTTAGCACTCAGCATTCGTAGCTCATTAACTTTATTAATGCTTACTTATTAATCATATTAATGCTCACCTAAACATCATCTGACTCTGTGATAAATTTGGAATTAAACTCTATCGTCCAGCACCAGACTGTATCACGCAGCTAGAAGTTTTAGGTTTTTTCAGTCTAAAGAGAAAATCGAGCCCAGACTCAGTCTTTGCAAAGAGGCTCGCAATTAATTTACAGTATATGATGGCAAACAGGTTATGGCTCATAAGTATCCATGTTGGTGGTGATATAAATGATGTCACTACCCAGTGTGGCCAGGGATTCAGCATTAAAGAGCACTGAGTATTCAAATTAATTTGCATAATTAAGTAGTTCAGATGTAAATAAAGTCGTTCAGAGAGGTTTGGTGTGAAACGCTCTGTTCTAGAGAAACTTGGTGGTGATAGGAACCAGACGTCCACCTCTAAAAGCTCCCTCACAGAAAGTTCCTACATGAAATGGTTATGAATTCACTGCCTGATGACTGAGACACTGTTTTATGATCTGTAGAAGATTTTGACCTAAAACGTATTTTTTAAATTCATTCATGGTGGAGGGATACATGCAGGACGTTGTGAGGCAAAATAGTCCCAAATTTATCAGATTTTCCACGATTTTACCATCAACAACATTCCATATAAACTCAGAAGACTCGTGTGGGTTCACTGGTGGTTTTGGACAGTAAATAAAATGTCTATATTTGTGTTGTAGTCATGGCCCCTGGTTCCCATCACCACCACTGCAAAGAAATTCGAGTCTCTATAATCAACCGTTTCACACCAAAAAACTCTGAATGACCGTCAGAACCACAGAATTATACAGAATTTTTGAAAAATTGGTGGAATTCCCCCTATATATGCCATTTGTCACGGTAGCTTAAGTCTTTTAATGGTCAGTAATGATCAACCACCAGCTGAAGGCCTCTTCTACCACATCAGTGTCCATTTCCACCTTCAGACAAAATCCTGTTTGGCTCTGTGAATCTGGCTGTGAGTAAATAAAAGAGAGCGGGTCCAGGCACCAGAGCTAACAGCGGCAAATCCTGCTTTAAATTATCCAACCGGGTGATTGAGATGATGCCGTATGCGTGGAGGAGCCAATGGCTGAAGAGCACCACCAGCCGCTTCTTTTTGGCAACGAGGTTCTTAAAAGACTGCAGGAAGAGAACAGAATGGCAACGTCAGAGTAATTCTATTCTAACTCATGTAATGAAAAGAATTAGGCCCAGTCCCATTTCTTATTTTCACCCCTACCCCTTGTTTTCGAGTGTTGGAACTGAGTTACAGGGTAGTGGTTGAGATCTTCCCTCTGAAATGGGACCCTCAAATAAAAAGAGCATCACTTCATTAACAGCTACCAGCGCTGCTCTGTAGGCGACCCTGCCAGTCTGCAGTGACAGCAGAGGAGGGTAAAGTTCAGCTCCTCACTGCTGGGCTTTAGTTACATTTAGGGCATCATATGCCTTCAAAGAGGGGGGCAATTATTTATTATCGCCCACCCCTAATTCTTCAGTGATATGAAGCTGAGGTCAGATATTCACCAGATTCTCATTCAAATTTTCCCGTTCCACCTTAAATGGTTTTTCATTAAACTAAGATAATACAATCGTAATTATCGGAATAATCATAGTTATCGTAATTCTTAAGAGAAAATACTCACATTTTTGGGTTTCTTTGGTTGCTTGCGCCGCCATCTTGATGTTTTTTTTTCCTTTTTTTTCTCATATCACTCTGTTTGGAGTGTGAAAAACCTCACCCTACCCCTCTATCTCAACACGAATCGGGACACCCTACCCCTAGACGTTAACACGCAAAAACCGAGGGGTAGGGCTAAGTGCTAGTGGCAGGGGGTGAAATGGGATTGGGCCTTAATATCAATTAAGAGGTCTTTCCCTGAACTGTATATCCAAACCAAGGAACATTTTAGGAACAAGTTTATGGCATCAGGTTCTGACCATCTCAGTATCTTGAGCCGAAATATCAACTTGGTGTGAATACCAACACTAAAAATAATATGCCACATTAAAAATTCCCAAAACCAGTTAACTTTTGAGTCAGAGTTTTTATATTTCATGTTTTAATCTTTTTTCAGTTTTTATAGTTATTTGTGCAAACGTTTTATGTAGCGTTCCTACATTTCTGTCTATAAATTATATCTGCAAAATTCATGCAATATTTGAAGGTATACAAAGAGATCTATATTGCTTCTCAACTAAAAAAAAGCCTTTCTGAGCCTAGATAAAGCATCTGAAACATAATAATAATAATAAATAAATAATAATAATAATAATAATAATGATAAATAATAATAATAATAATCATCATCATCATGATAAATAATAATAATAATAATAATAATAATAAAGTCACAACAAAAATCTGTACTGCATATCGCAAGGCTTACCTGTATCTCTGAAGCTGACATATACACAGCCAAGGTGACCAAGGACAACACCAGAATAATGTAGGGGAAGGCATAGTCTGATTAACATGAAAGGAATAAATTAGTTATACAATAAAATAATACTGCTCTCAAACAGTTCAAACACTCAGAGAAGCAAATAATCTAGAACCAAATAATCTAGAACCAGTCTTGATTCAATTCAGTTTGATCTGAACTAGACAGAGAAACCTCACTTTAAATAGGCTTCACAAAGCAACTGCTGTGAAAATTTCAGGTAGTTGCTGTTACCCTAGGTGGTTGCTAAGGTGTTGCTCGGCAGTTGCTATGGAATCCCAGGTGGTTGCTAAGGTGTTGCTAGGCAATTGCTATGGAGTCCCAGGTGGTTGCTAAGGTGTTGCTAGGCAATTGCTATGGAATCCCAGGTGGTTGCCAAGTTGTTGCTAGGCAGTTGCTATGGAATCCCAGGTGGTTGCTAGGTTGTCGCTAGGCAATTGCTATGGAGTCCCAGGTGGTTGCTAAGTTGTTGCTAGGCAATTTCTATGGAATCCTAGGTGGTTGCTAAATTGTTGCTCGGCAGTTGCTATGGAATCCCAGGTAGTTGCTAAGGTGTTGCTAGGCAGTTTCTATGGAATCCCAGGTGGTTGCCAAGTTGTTGCTAGACAATTGCTATGGAATGCCATTTGGTTGCTAAGGTGTTGCTAGGCAATTGCTATGGAATCCCAGGTGGTTGCTAAGGTGTTGCTAGGTAGTTGCTATGGAATCCCAGGTAGTTGCTAAGGTGTGGCTAGGCAGTTGCTATGACATCCCAAGTGGTTGGTAAGGTGTTGCTAGGCAATTGCTATGGAATCCCAGGTGGTTGCTAGGTTGTCGCTAGGCAATTGCTATGGAGTCCCAGGTGGTTGCTAAGGTGTTGCTAGGCAATTGCTATGGAATCCTAGGTGGTTGCTAAATTGTTGCTCGGCAGTTGCTGTGGAATCCCAGGTAGTTGCTAAGGTGTTGCTAGGCAGTTTCTATGGAATCCCAGGTGGTTGCCAAGTTGTTGCTAGACAATTGCTATGGAATGCCATTTGGTTGCTAAGATGTTGCTAGGCAGCTGCTATGGAATCCCGGGTGGTTGCTAAGGTGTTGGTAGGGCACTGCTATGGTATCCCAGGTGATTGCTAAGTTACTGTTATGCCATTGCTATATTATTCCAGGTGGTTGCTAAAGGTTTTGCCAGGCCATTGCTATGGCATCCCAGGAGGTCGGTAATAAGTGTGTTAGAATGTATGTGAGTCTACTGTCTAATGTCCATGAGGGTCAGTATGAGAGACGTCCCTTATGACACCATTTGTGGCAGCTCAGTCTGAACTCTCAGCAGTCTGACACTCTTTCCCTATGGGGGGAAAAACGTCATTTGGACGACCAGTGTACAAAAAAAACATACGTGTAATCGGTTCCAAAAGCACAAGCTCACTATTCTCATACTGGGGCTACTATCCTGCAGATTTCCATGGTTTTAGCTTAAGAACTGTGATCAGTGAAAACGGTGAATAATAATTAAGTATGCAACAGTTAGTTCCAGCCACGCAAGCTGATTGGTTGAGAAACGTTCTAACCGTGCTGTTATTTCACCATAACATCACGTTTTTTTTCACAAACACTGTATCACTCCGCTGAGCCATTTGAACGTTTTTACTTCTTACTTTGCCACAAACACAAAATGGACACTTTTAAGGTCACATTTGACCGACAGCCGATTTGGTCAGACTCTGAAGATGAGGCTACACTAAATTCCCAAACTGTCAGTTGGTCTGTGTGGAGCTGGAGAACGAACTGCCGGCTGTGCAGCGAGTGGGCGGAGCTCGTTACTCTGACGTAGCAACAAGCTGCTCGTTAAGGAACTATAATTTGGTGAAGGAACTGCGAACATTAAAACATATTAAACGCCGCGTTCACGGCCCAGTTTATTAATTTATTACTGTATTCATTTAACTGCTGTATAAAAACAATAGAACACTCAAGGAGTGTGTTATCGCCAATAACATCACGGCTGTGATGATCGACGACGACCAAATCACAGCCGTGATGTTATTCACGATAACACACTCCCTCTGTGTTCTACTGCTTAAATGAAGAACAGTAAGTGGACTTTGCCGAGTCAACTTAATAAGATGCATTTCAGCACAGAAAACATTAAAACTGTGCAGTTTTTATGATTTTAGTTTGAAAACCACAGTATATCAAATCAGGCTATTATCACTGGCTAGGCTAACTTAGCAACTGTTTTTTAGCTAACGGCTGAAGCTTCAGTATCAAAGCTGTCAAGGACAATGTAAAGGTTTTGGGTTCAAACTTTTTTCTTCATTTAAAATATTAACTGAATACTTGCTCATTTGCATAAATATTAAGTTAATGAAAACTCATTTTTGGAATTTTTTGAAGGATCCACTGGGCCAAAGAAAACTTACAGAGCAGGCCTCCACCCACTGCTTGCAGAACAGTGAGGATGGGGAAGAAGTAGAGGGCTGCGTATATACTTTTAAAACGGTCCGTCTTCCCCAAACCGCACGCTATCTTTTTCACCAGGAGCGGCCGCAGCATCATCATGAAGACCAGGCAGAAGGCGTAGTAGATCAGCACAATGGTGTACCTACAGAAAAGCCAGGACACAACAGCAAGTTCAGGTACAGACATCTAAAGCTCCATTAGAGCTGGTTTAGTTTTTCCCAAGGAGTGTGGCGTTTGACTGGCTGATTGTTTTGGGATAAAATATCTGTGTGATTTCCTTCAAAATTCCCAGAGGAGTGCCTCGATGTTCACATGACACCGCAGGACACACTCAATAACAATAACGGAAAATAAAAACTGGATTAAAATCGCTCCACAATTATTACTGTAAAACTACACACACTGCAGATTCATACTGGATTAAAATCACTCCACAATTATTACCGTCAGACTGTAAAACTACACACTGCAGATTCATACTGGATTAAAACTACACACACTGCAGATTCACCTGATAAAACAATATTACCGGACTTTAAAACTACACACACTGCAGATTCACACTGGATTAAAACTACACACACTGCAGATTCACACTGGATTAAAATCGCTCCACAATTATTACCGTCAGACTGTAAAACTACAGACACTGCAGATTCACACTGGATTAAAACTACACACACTGCAGATTCATACTGGATTAAAACTACACACACTGCAGATTCACACTGGATTAAAACTACACACACTGCAGATTCATACTGGATTAAAACTACACACACTGCAGATTCGTACTGGATTAAAATCGCTCCACAATTATTACCGTCAGCCTGTAAAACTACACACACTGCAGATTCATACTGGATTAAAATCGCTCCACAATTATTACCGTCAGACTGTAAAACTACACACACTGCAGATTCATACTGGATTAAAATCGCTCCACAATTATTACCGTCAGACTGTAAAACTACACACACTGCAGATTCATACTGGATTAAAATCGCTCCACAATTATTACTGTCAGACTGTAAAACTACACACACTGCAGATTCATACTGGATTAAAATCGCTCCACAATTATTACCGTCAGCCTGTAAAACTACACACACTGCAGATTCATACTGGATTAAAATCGCTCCACAATTATTACCGTCAGACTGTAAAACTACACACACTGCAGATTCATACTGGATTAAAATCGCTCCACAATTATTACTGTCAGACTGTAAAACTACACACACTGCAGATTCATACTGGATTAAAATCACTGCATTACCTAGCATTAGAAGCATTACAAATACCAATGAAATGAATCACTGTTTTAAACACTTATCAGAATCATAATCAATAAGAACAGATTTTAATCTATGAGAACAGAGAAGAACATAAATAAACTCACAGAGGAAACACAGCTTCCTGAGTGCAGTGCAGCGTGTCGACGTAGTTCGGGCTGGGGTTGTAGAGCATGGTGTACCAGTCCGACAGCATCTGGACTCTGCAGGAGCGGATGACCAGCTGCCCCACTGGGTCGTTCACCAGCAGAGTGACCACTGCTGCAGCACTGCATTCAAACAGGGCCGTAATGTGCTGGAACAAAGCACTGGAGCTACAAGACCAAAAACATGAGCTTTAGTGTGGACGGATTAGACCTGGGCTCTGTTTCACACCCATTATATTGAATATACATGAGCAATACTGCACTCAACACGGTGAGTTATGGTACATAATATCACAGCTGCACACTTAAAACAGGTTATTCAAGGGTTCTTCAGTAAAGAAAATAGTTCTATATAGAACCATGAACACTCGAAGAACCATTTGCATTAGTTATGATTAAATGGTTCTTTGCATCGTGAAAGTGTTCTTCAGATTGATCGAGTACGTGATGTAGATGGTTCTATATAGAACCTTTTCGAAAAGGGTTCTTCTATTTTTACAAGCTTGACATCAAAACACTAGCAGAACCCTTTTTGGTGCTTTATAGAACCCTTTTCAAAAAGGTTCTATACAGAACCATCTATAGCACATTCGCCATCAATCTGGAGAACGCTTGCAAAGAACCCTTTAATCATGCAAATGTTCCTTTGAGTGTTCGTGATTCTATATAGAACCAAAAAGGTTCTGCTAGTGTTTCGATGTCAAGCTTGTAACAATACAAGAACCCTTTTTGGTGCTACATTGAACGCTTTTTAAAAAGGTTCTATATCGGCTGTCGGTCAAACATGATCTTAAAAGGCAAAGTAAGAAGTAAAAATGTTCAAATGGCTCCTACAGCTGTCAACGTCGTTGCTTAGCAACGGCGTGTCAGCGGAGTGATAGTGTTTGTAAAAAAAAACGTGCTGTTATTTCACCATAAGAACGCTTCTCAACCAATCAGCTTGCGTGGCCGAACTAACTGCTGTATAATATCAGATGTAACACAGCTATTCAGCAAATCTGATTGGCTGTTATTCATTAAAATGTGTCCAGTCAAATCAGATCATAAACAATGAGTGCATGCAAATTCCATTTTTTTTATTCATCAGTTTATTTTTTGGCATATCTGTATGATCAAAGTAATGTCTGGTGCAATAACACTAATAAAATAGTGACAACACTAATAATCTGTGCACGTGGAATTCCAGGACAAGTGGATGTACGTATTTTACACACACAGTGCTGTAAACAAATGCTGCAGCTATTCCATGTTCTGTTTAAAAGACAGTTTACACTGTGCTTCTGACTCCGCCCACAAAATAAACAAGACAAAACGCAGCTTGTGCAAAAGCATCTCATACACTGCAATAATAGTCTTTAAAATATCTTATTTCAGAAAATAAATCACACTACACAATCACATCTTTCTACCGTCTCTAAAAACTAAGACGTTTTGTTTATTTTACATTTTATTCTTTTCAGTCGTCGCAATTTTTACACTATAAAGTTTGGTCAGTAGGGGGAGCAGTGCACTCACTGCTCTATGGCGTCAAATCCAATTCAAAATTCGCAAACGAGGAAAACTCTTGCCAAAAATGAAATGAAAAATAAATAAAATTTAAAAAAATGGCTCAGTAAATTTACCAATAAATAAAAATAACTCAAGTATTTATTACTTATTTTGATTGTAATTATACACATATTTCCTTTTTCTGCACTTACATATTTCTCAATTTATTTATTTCTGTATTATTTTTATTAATGCCTCTGTTCATTTTTATATTTTTTCTGTATATATATTTTTTTTTACAATTGTTCACTTTATTTATTGATTCATTAATTAATTAATTTATTTTTTTTTCATGAATTCATTTATTTATTTCTGTATTTCTTCGGTCATATGATAATGAGGGGGCGTGTTTTTCACGTTCAGGCTTAACAATCAAGACCAGGAGGAGAGTTAAACTGTTCTTTCACTCCATAAAGAGCTGCAGTGTCACGAACAGACAAACCTGCCGATGAATAACTCTCGATGGCTCCCACAGGCAGTGTGTGAGAAGGGCGTCCAAATGTCTGAGTTTGATCTGAATTTTGCAGAAAAAGACGATGAACCACCTCCTCCAAAGTTCTGAGCACTACAGGGTCGACCTCTGAATCAGCAGAGGCAGCGAAATGGACCAATCTGTCCTCCACAGCCTCCAAATGAAAAGTAAATAATCTGGACCTGCATTTTCAGCCAGATCAGCCGAGACTCTCAGATCTGCTGCCTGTAAGTTGCCATTATTGTACTTGTCTTGTCCTATTAAGACACCGTGACATCATTGACTGACAGCCCCTTTATCAGCTTAAGAACAAGGATATACAGCAATAAATAAATAGGTAAATAAATAAATATATAAATGAATAGTGATGGAAATAAATGAAAAAAAAAATAAAGAAACATAAAAAAAAAAATAAATACAAAGAGTAAATTACTAAATAGACATAAGTAAATGCAGACATTAATTTATGTAAGGTTTTATTCATTAACATATATTTTTATGTATATTTATTTATTTCTAGATTTCTCATCATTATTCTTTGCAATTGTAATTCATATATTAGTTTACTGAGTCATTTATTTTTAAGTTTATTTATTTTTCATTTTCATTTCTTTCTGCTCGCGGAAGACTTTACTTCATTTTTGACAGTTGGGGGCGGGTCCCAACATATAACTGGTTATTACTAATTTGTGGAACTGTATCGTGATTGGCTGGCTGGCAGTGGTCACCAGAGTTTTTGCTGCATATAAAACCGGGAACAGGCCTTTCACTCTAGAGAGTCCGCCAGTACAGCGGCGTTAGCTGAAACGCTGCCTGAAGTTACCGAATTCTATCTTTGTGACCTCAAACTCCACCTACGAGCACAGCTGTTGCTCACGAGCCACTGAATGTTGTTGTTTTATTGACTCCCTACCAAAACAGCTGCATCAATTAGAGTGTGCTTCATGTAAATGATGTGTGAAGAGGTGCTGGTAGGCTGACTGATTTCTCGCACTGTAATTTTGTAAACTGCATGTAAAGTAGCTGGTATGTCATTAAAGGCGGCCAAACATGCACTTTTTTTACATGACTTTAAAGATTAAAGCCCATTCTGTGGCATCATTAAGGCTATTTTTCACATGATACACGTGTAAGGGAGGTTTACATGTGAAAGGGGTGGCTTTACCTTTTCTTCCCAGTATACCATTCAATAAAAAACCAGTGCAGGACCAGAGGAAGCATGGCCATGAAGCCCAAGTACAGCCAGTCGTACAGCTCCGGAGTGTCCATGCATTTTTGGCAGATCTTCATTATGCTCGTCCTCTCCCCTCGAGGGCAAGCCTTTCAACAGAGAACAAACAGCAAGCTTGAGTTTTGGGAATTCCTAGTGCGTCTGCTGAAGGTGCAGTTATATAATGAAATACAGTATAAATCAGAACTTCCTGCATAGGCAGTGCTGAGCGATATAGTTTTTGGTCTGTTTTCTTCTCTTATGATTTTTTTCCGAAGTATTGTAAATGTAAATCAGACAAAAACACATTTCCAGAAAGGAAACTTTCTGTTTATTTCATTTTCGTGTATCATGAATTGTTCTTTTGAAAAAAAGCATCCAGCAAATGACATACACCACAATTAACTATGAGTTAGGGGTGAAAAATAGCATCACAATACCTAATAATACTTTTATAATACACTGTATGAATCATGATACACCGATCAGGCATAACATTATGACCACCTCCTTGTTTCTACGCTCATTGTCCATTTTATCAGCTCCACTTACTATATAGGTGCACTTTGTAGTTCTACAGTTACAGACATTTACATTTACATTTACATTTATGGCATTTGGCAGACGCTCTTATCCAGAGCGACTTACAGTGTGATCTACACAGGTAGGCGAAGGTAGTGTTAGGAGTCTTGCCCAAGGACTCTTATTGGTATAGTGTAGAGTGTTTACCAAGGTGGGGTTTGAACCCCAGTCTACAGTGTAGAAGGCAGAGGTGTTACCCACTACACTATACCAACCAATGGACTGTAGTCCATCTGTTTCTCTGATACTTTGTTAGCCCCCTTTTACCCTGTTCTTCAGTGGTCAGGAGCCCCATGGACCCTCACAGAGCAGGTACTATTTGGGTGGTGGATCATTCTCAGCACTGCAGTAACACTGACACGGTGGTGGTGTGTTAGTGTGTGTTGTGCTGGTACGAGTGGATCAGACACAGCAGTGCAGCTGGAGGTTTTTAAACACCTCAGTGTCGCTGCTGGACTGAGAATAGTCCACCAACCAAAAATATCCAGCCAACAGCGTCCTGTGGGCAGCGTCCTGTAACCACTGATGAAGGACTAGAGGATGACCAACACAAACTGTGCAGCAGCAGATGAGCTATCGTCTCTGACTTTACATCTACAAGGTGGACCAACAAGGTAGGAGTGTCTAATAGAGTGGACAGTGAGTGGACACAGTGTTTAAAACTCCAGCAGCACTGCTGTGTCTGATCCACTCGTACCAGCGCAACACACACTAACACAACACCACCACGTCAGTGTTACTGCAGTGCTGAGAATGATCCACCACCCAAATAGTACCTGCTCTGTGAGGGTCCATGGGGGTCTCCATGTCCAATGCCAAGCCTGGGCTAGAGGGGTATAAAGCCCCCCGGCATTGGGCTATGGAGCAGTGGAGCTGTGTTCTCTAGAGTGATGGAGCTCCATCCAACACCTTTGGGATGAGCTGGAATGATCCAGAACTGACCATCCAACATCAGTACCTGACCTCACCAATGCTCAATCAGATCCTCACAGCAATGTTCCAACATCTAATGTAAAGCTGTCCCAGATGAGTAGAGGCAGGAAAGCGCAACCTGCTGAAATGCTGTTTTACTGATACTCACCCCACACTGCTCTGATCCATTTTCTCCATTCTTCATTCCACAGTAGAGCCCCGGACAGTTCAAGTTCATTGACACAGCTGGAGCAGAGAACAGGCATAATATTACATATCAAAAGCAGGATTTCAAAATGTGTCTATAATTTACTCATTAAGAAGTAAACAAGATAATTAAGAGCTGTTGGATGTGTAAGTCTTTGATCTCAAGATCCTTTCTGAATCAGAATTGTTCACAGTGGTGGTGATAGGAACCAGACATAATAATAATAATAATAATAATAAAAATAAAAATAATAATAATAATAATAAATGTTTATTTATATATCACTTTTCATGCAGGTGGCAGCTCAAAGTGCTTTACAGTAATACAAGAAATTATAAGTATTGATGTAGAATCATATAAGAAAATGACACAGATCAGATTAAAGGATAAAAACCACGAGACGTAGTTTTAATTAAATGCTGAGTAACGGAGAGACGTTTTTAGATGGATCTTAAAAGTGAGCACTGAGCTTGACTGTCTAATAAAAGGTGTTTTCTGTATTTTACTGAAGGTGTTTGTAGGTCAGAATCTGCAGATCTGAGATCATAAACAGACACTCTGTGATGTAAGCAGTGCTTTAGGGTCATTTAGAGCCTTAAAAACTAGGAGCAGAACTTTAAAATCTATCCTGAATGATACAGGCAGTCAGTGCAGCTCTTTTAAAACAGGACTGATCTGATCTCTCTGTTTAGTTTTTGTTAGGACGCTGATGCGTTTTGTCCGAGCTGTAAGGGATGCATAGTTTTCTTAGGAAGTCCAGTAAGAAGATCATTACAGTGATCAACTCTGCTGTAACAAATGCACGAACGGGTTTCTCTGCGTCGCTCTGAGAGAGAAAAGGCCGAACTTTAGCGACATTTCTCACGATAGAAATCTACTTTAGTGACTGCGTTTACATGCGGGATAAGATGCCCCTAAAAGCTCCCTCACAGAAAGCTGTCACACAAAATGGTTATGAATGCACCGTCTAATGTCTGAGACGCTGTTTTTCAAATTTTGGCCTGGCATATTTTAAACTACATTACATCGAAGAGGCATATGTGCCGAGCAAAACAGTACGTTTTAGAAAACACTGAGTGTGTTTACATGCACTCAATAATCCGATCATAATCGGATTTCTGCAGTTATCCGATTATTCAAATGGTCATGTAAACACCAAACTCCGATCTAGAAATCTGATTAAGAAATCTGATTAAGAAGCTGGATTTTACCTCAGTAATCAGATATCTCAGTGCATGTAAACTCTTACTCTGATTTCTTTCGGATTTCTCGGTCAGCGTATGTGCGAGATCAGACGGTGGATGTCGCGAGACGCAGCAAAACACTGTTGGAGCAGCGCTGAAACCAAACATGAAATAAATGATTTAAATATTCTTCTTCTTCCATATAATGTAAGTTCATATTTTCAGGTAAAGTGGTCCGATATTTAAAAAAAAGTCGCAGCATTGACTTTTACATTATGTTGCGTCTTCTTCTGAGTTCATTGGCTGGTTGCAAAGCAGAAATCTGATTACTGTCTGACTCACATAGACCTGGAGTTTCCCCATTATCTGATTACTCAAGTGCATGTAAACATGTTGATTGGATTACTGACAAAACCAGATTTTCTGCAGTTATCAGATTATTGAGTGCAGGTAAACACACTCAGTTTTTTCAGATAACCCCTTAATTTACCATCATCAACATTCCATATAAGTCACTGGTGGTTTTGGGTAGTAAATAAAGCAGCTATTTCTGTGTTATAGACATGGTGACCCCTGGTTCCTATCACCACCACTGTAAACAAGTCTCAACCTGTGAGTTTCTCTACAATTAAACGTTTCACTTGACAACAATGAATGACTTTCTCAGTCACTGAACCATGAGGACATTTTGGGAAATTGGTGGAATTCCCCTTTAACGCTCTGCCAGCATTAATCAATTGGTTTGACAGACAACAGCACAGACAGAAGTAATACCACTATCTATGTTATTAGGCTAAATCGGTTACATCTAGACTGAAAAGTTAAACAAATACGCCACTTCATCTGAACCAAGAACACCAAACTGCAGCTACGACTCTACAGAGACGCAGTCAGACAAAATAGACTTGAATCCTTTCCATATTATATAAACCAATCAGCCATAACATTATGACCACCTCCTTGTTTCTACACTCATTGTCCATTTTATCAGCTCCACTTACAATATAGGTGCACTTTGTAGTTCTACAGTTACAGACTGTAGTCCATCTGTTTCTCTGATACTTTGTTAGCCCCCTTTTACCCTGTTCTTCAGTGGTCAGGACCCCCATGGACCCTCACAGAGCAGGTACTATTTGGGTGGTGGATCATTCTCAGCACTGCAGTAACACTGACGTGGTGGTGGTGGTGTGTTACTGTGTGTTGTGCTGGTACAAGTGGATCAGACACAGCAGTGCAGCTGGAGGTTTTTAAACACCTCAGTGTCACTGCTGGACTGTGAATAGTCCACCAACCAAAAATATCCAGCCAACAGCATCCTGTGGGCAGCATCCTGTGACCACTGATGAAGGACTAGAGGATGACCAACACAAACTGTGCAGCAGCAGATGAGCTGTCGTCTCTGACTTTACATCTACAAGGTGGACCAACAAGGTAGGAGTGTCGAATAGAGTGGACAGTGAGTGGACACAGTGTTTTAAAAACTCCAGCAGCACTGCTGTGTCTGATCCACTCAGACCAGCGCAACACACAGTAACACACCACCACCACGTCAGTGTTACTGCAGTGCTGAGAATGACCCACCACCCAAATAGTACCTGTTCTGTGAGGGTCCATGGGGGTCCTGACCACTGAAGAACAGGGTAACAAAGTATCAGAGAAACAGATGGACTACAGTCTGTAACTGTAGAACTACAAAGTGCTCCTATATGGTCAGTGGAGCTGATAAAATGGACAATGAGCGGAGAAATATGAATTATAATCATCAGGATCAATGTTCTGCGTAGCTGACGATGCGTCCTGTTTCACAACAAACATTACTACAGCAGTACTGCACCGACTCGCCTGATTTTATATGTATTTTATTTATATTTCACATTTCTGTCAATATTTGTAGATAAACGATTTGACTCCGGGGTTTCTATCCAGCCAGCTCCGCTTAGCTCGCCTTCGAGAAGATGACGAGGCTGAAGTCAGCTTCCTATACGCCAGCTTCTTAACCGAATTTGCCCGTTCCACCTTAAATAGTGAACCAGTTCCATTCCAGCGCCTCAGGCGTTACATTAATAACTGCTGCGCCACTTAAGGTGGAACGGAAAGATTCGAATAAGAAGCTGGCGAAGAGGAAACTGACTTCAGCTTCGTCAAAAAGGTGGCCAGTCAGACAATTAAGCGCACAGACATCGCCGTAATTAGACAGAATAAACATGTAGATGTTTATTTATACTTACACATGACGGAAACTCCGATCCCGCTGATTTCATACACGGAAAACGGCGTTTAGCTTAGCCCGCTAGCGGTTAGCAGGCAGCTACATTTAGCCCCGATGAAGCCGCCGCGTCTCCAGCAGCGCTGCCTGTGAGAGCGCCCCTTGCGGAAGAGCCAGGAAATACATCCACTCCGCCCCCGTTTTATTTATCCGCATTTTTATCATTTTTTTTTTTTACCTCGCTTAAAATTAGGATTATTGTCTTTATTTCATCTTATCAAAGCTGAGCCAGAAGGCGAAGGAAGACAGATTATGTGTAATTGACTACTCGCATTATGTTGTCTATAATATGTGTACGTGCATGTTCACGTTTTTTATTTGTAAATAAAAATAAGTAGGGTAAAAAGACCAAAAAATGTAAAATGACGGAATTTAAATAAATAACTAAAATACATAAACAAAAAAACTGGACTAACTGCCTGTTTTGGACCTACTGCTTGTTTGACAGCTTCTGTTTTTATTTATTTATTTATTATTATTATTATTTTTTTTTACACCGGCGATGCGCACTAAAGAAAAAAACAAAATGAAAAATTCATTTTGACGCTGAAATGAAACAAAAATGATCGGTACTTATCGTCATGGCAACCGTTCTAAACGTCACCTCTTGCGATGTTTTGCCCCACCCGTTTTCAGACTAGTCCCGCCCTCTTGTGTTCTGATTGGCTTGTAGAGACTCGCCTCCTGTGCTATGATTGGCTAGTAGTTCACACTCCCCAGTGCCGTATCTCCCTACATGGCTCTGATACTCCCAAGCGCTCAGTCGCTACTTTATTTTGAATATTTTGTTTTGTTTGTCGTGTTACTGTGATGCAGATAAAGCTGTTAATAGTCAAACAGATTTTGTATTTAGAATGTTTGGCTATTATTATAATTTGTGCCTCATTTTTTTTGTCAAATTTTGTCAAAACACTTAAAAATGACAAAAATGGAGATACAAGGTTATGTCCCGGTGGCATATATTCATATTTAGATCTCCATTTATGTCATTTTGAATTTTTTGACATAATTTGAATAAGGTAGTTTTATATATATATAAGCAGCACTGCTGTGTCTGATCCACTCATACCAGCACAACACACACTACTACACCACCACCTCGTCAGTGTTACTGCAGTGCTGAGAATGATCCACCACCCAAATAGTACCTGCTCTGTGAGGGTCCATGGGGGTCCTGACCGCTGAAGAACAGGGTAAAAGGGGGCTAACAAAGTATGCAGAGAAACAGATGGACTACAGTCTGTAACTGTAGAACTACAAAGTGCACCTATATAGTAAGTGGAGCTGATAAAATGGACAATGAGCATAGAAACAAGTAGGTGGTCATAATGTTATGCCTGATCTGATCGGTGTGTATGTATATATATATATATATATATATATATATATATATATATATATATGTGTGTGTGTGTGTGTGTGTGTGTGTTTGTGTGTGTTTGTGTGTGTTTCTGCCAAAAGCAAACATTCAGCAAACAGTAACAATAATTTATTGTTTTTAAAAAGTAGTGTACTTTTATTATTGTATTATTGTGTATTATATGCTATACACGGTATACTTACACATTTTATACATATTTATTATATACATATTATATGCTCTTAAATATTATATAGGTATATAATATATTTAGGTTTTACAGCATTTTTTGTGGAAGGAAAAATAATAACCCAAACAACAGTTTCAGCCAATCGGGGCTCAGGGGGCGGTGCTGTTCCTGAATACGGGTGGGTAAAAAAAAACACACCACGGAGCCTTTAAGCAGAGGCAGAAGGGAGGCGCCTTCAGATGGAGAAACGCAATCTTCACATACACCGCGGAGCTGATATGGCCGCTCGCAGCAGACGGTCCGTGTTCGTGATTTCTTTGTGTGTCCAGCTTTTTGTTATAATGCTGTAAATCCTTCCTGAGACAGATAAAGCCAGAAGGAGGAGGGATAAGGGATGAATCCTCTTCTGCTGTGTGGATTCGTGTCCACTGGCGAGCAACATGGACAACAACAGATCCAGATCAGGTCTGATTTTGGATTTTGGGAACCAAACCAGTGTTGCAGCTGGTGGTCCGGTGAAGGGAACTGGGGGGAGTTCGGTTTTGCACGGTGTGGCCGTGGCTGCTCAGGCCCTTTTGCTTCTGGCCATCTTCCTTCTGTCCAGCTTGGGCAATTCAGCTGTTGTGATGGTCATCATCAAGCACAGGCAGCTGAGGACGGTAACCAACGCTTTCATCATGTCCCTGTCTTTATCTGACTTCCTCACGGCCATCCTTTGCCTGCCGTTCTCCTTCATGATGCTGTTCAGCAAGGACGGCACATGGATGTTCGGCGACCGCTTCTGCGTAGCCAACGGCTTCTTCAACACCTGCTTTGGAATCATCTCCACACTGACCATGACCCTGATCTCCTTTGACCGGTATTACGCCATTGTCAGGCAGCCACAGGAGAAAATTGGTAGGAAGAAGGCCATGCAGCTGCTGGTGGCCGTTTGGCTGTCAGCGGTGGTCTTCTCCTTCCCTTGGTACCTTTTCTTCTGGACGTCTGACCATCTGGTGGTCCACAAGCCAGGCTTCTACCACTGCATGTACGTTTTCCACTCGGGGAGCTCCAGAATGGGCACCACGTACAGCGTGGCCTTGATTGTGGTCTGCTACCTCCTTCCTTTTGCGCTCATGTGCTTCTGCCACTACAACATTTGCAAGACGGTCCGGCTGTCGGAGATTCGAGTGCGCCCGGTGACCACTTACGCCCACCTGCTTCGCTTTTACAGCGAGATGAGGACAGCCACCACGGTGCTCATCATGATCGTCTTCATCATCTTCTGCTGGGGTCCGTACTGTTTGATGGGAATAGTCACCGCGGTTGGAGATTACACCTTCAACCCGGCCATGGACACCGTGGCCATGTGGATGGCGTGGGCCAACGGCGCCATAAACCCACTGATCTACGCCATAAGGAACCCCAACATATCCATGCTGCTGGGACGAAGCAGGGAAGAAGGCTATAGGACTAGAAACATCGCCGCCTACCTGTCCCGGACACGAGCGGACAGGATTAGAGACCGGACGCGGCCAGACAGGATCAGAGACCGCTACGCCAGCCGCCACGGCGCTGGAAGTCGGGTGTCTTCCTCCAGTCCAGCCAACGGCGGAGAAGTGGCCATGTGGGCTTGCAAAAATCCAGCAGTCTTCTTCTGCAGGGACGGCCAGCCCGACACGGTCACTGAAGCCGCTGTGCCAAAGGCCGAGACGGCCAACACCAGCTTGTGATGTTGTGTACTTTTTACTCCATTCCAGCAGTGGATTTCCCACAAAGTCACCTGAGTGTTCGCAATCAGAAAGCCACGCAAATATAGGGCCAGGTTCGGGGGTCATGGATCAAAGGGCAACTCCAAAGATATTTCAAGATTTCTGCTTCACCGATCAAGGGTTGAGAAATGAACAAAGGCATTCTGAGCAGTTAGATTGTAGAGTAAATGTTTTATGGTCGAGAAACAGAAGATTTCTTTACAGTGGTGGTGATAGAAACCAGGGGTCGCCATGACTACGACACAAATATAGACATTTTATTTACTATCCAGAACCACCAGTGAACCTACACAAGTCTTCTGAGCTTTATTTGTAAGGTTGATGATGGTGACATAGTGGTAAATCTGAAAAAAACACGGAAAGTATTTCACCTCACATGCCCTGCATGTAATTCACCATGAAAGTATTAGAAAAATGTATGTTTTCTTATGAAAACTATCACAAAACAATGTCTCATAACTGTTTCATGTAATAACTCTCAGCGAGGGAGCTTTTAGAGGTGGACGTCTGGTTCCTATCACCACCACTGTGAACAGTTCTGACTTTGAGCATTTCACATCAAACCAATCTGAATGGCTTTGTTTAACCATTCAGATAGGAAAACTGGAAAAATTGGAAAATCGCTGGAATTCCCCTTTAAGACTAATCTTGGACTGAAGTGCAGTGCCAATCATGAATCAGGGCTGGGTGTCTATCTCGATACCAATATTGATATCTTGACTTTGATATTGATTCCTGAATGCTATTTTTTTCAGTACTTTCTTTTAAACTCGAAAATATTAATGTGAAAACTGATGTGAATCGGTTTCACAAAAGGAAAAGTGCATGACGCTTTGTGTTCTCGGTTCCTTTTTTCTCAGTTAATTTTTAATGCAGGAGGCTGACAGTGTATTCAGATTTGGGTAACACTTTCTTTTACATCCCTTAAAAGTTCTCCACTCTAAAAAAAACGTTCTTCAAGGTTTCTTTATTAAAGGCAGTGGTTCTATATAGAACCATGGACACTCAGAGAACCATTTGAATGCATAAATTGTTGTTTGCATGGTCAAATGGTTTTTCTCTGTGATGGAAAAGCTGTTGTTCATGCTTCTTTAAAGAATACCCCCAAAAGTGGTTCCAAAAAATGTTCCACTCTTGTTAAAGAACCCTTTTTTTCTAAGAGTGGAGGTATTAAGTAAGTGTGAGGTACTCCAAAGAACTAGATAATTATTTTGGGTAGCGTGATCATACGTTCCAAGGCATTCTAACTAAATTACATTGAAATTAAATTACATTGAAATATACAACAGGTTCTAGATATTAACAGGGTAAGTGTATGGAACCATACAGTACTGTGTGATTATTTTGGGTATAAAGTAGTGGGTAGTTATTTGGAGTAAAAAAGATTGTATATGAATGAAGTACAGTCTTCATTAAGAGTCTTATGGGTCATTCTACTGAAACGTCCACTGTTCTATCTCTCCATAGGAGTCACTGGTGTTACTGATCCTCATTGGTGTTACTCATAATGAAGGAACACCAGAGACATTTTTAATGAACAATGCATTTTACAAAATAACTGCTACAGAGCATCAAACCACATGTTGTCAATCATGGAATATCCACTAAAATATGGAATTTAATCCATTTTCTATTTTTTCACAGTTACCTCAGAATAAAGTGGGTCACACCAGTGACTTCAGCTAAAAGCTTCATATGAAATCATGAGCTAAATGAGAAAATCTCTGATAACTGAAAGACACAGTGGACTCACCATGAGCTTTTCTTCATAGATCCTCAGAAAACAGGTAAAAGGAAGTCGAGTGATGTCATCAGTGTGACTTTTATTTCAAAATAAGAGATTTTTTGTTACACAGTAACACCAGTGACTCCTGGGGACAAATTTCATTATATATTTTATAATATTTATTTGGAATTTGTTTTCTTTTTGTCATTTAAATCATATATTCCATAGTCATGTATAGATTATTGTAGTTAAAATTGCAGAAAAACTTCTCACCCTTGACCGTGAGGACGAGCTTTTCTGTGGTGCTTGGAATTCTAGGCAATTGATTTAAAAACCAATATTGCTAAATTGAGGCTCAAGAAGGTGTAATTGTTAAAATAACACTGTTTTATTTTAGACTATAAATAAATTATATCTGTAAACGCTAGGGACACAAAAATGTACATTTCTGTAGAATGACCCTTATATAGTATGTAGCTGTTCATTAACTATGAACTAAACTGAATGTGGTCCGTAAAAGAAAGCAGTGATTCTCACTTTAGTTCTACTGGGTTCTCAAAAAACTATTTTTGTATTTTATGCCGTTATTTTACACATATAACTCATCAGCTACTTGGAGGAGTTTCTGATTTTCTTTCCTGCTTAAACGTGTGACATTACAGTGTCAGTGTGTTTGTATTTACCACCTTATACCTCCAAGTCATTCTAAGATATTTTACTGTGTCCTTAATATCCAGAACCTTGGTACTTACCATCACTTTACCCAAAATAATACATACATTAATCATACACAGCACTTTGAGATTGTACTGCACACTTACTCAGTAATATCTGGCACCTGTTGCGCATTTCAGTGTAATTTAGATCCAAATCTTGCCGTCATGTTACCCAAAATAATTACCTAGTACTTTGGAGTTTGCTAGAACTGAATGACACTCGTGTTAATGAGAGCGCTGAAGTACTACAGTCAGAATCTTAACAGTGTTGAATTTTGATGCTCTGCCCTAATGCTGCTGTTTTGCTTGTTACATTTCATACAGGCTGCATCTGAATACTTGAATAAACCTTTATTTCCTGTCTGAGTTCCTTGATTTTGTCTGATCTGGTGGTCATGCGGATCCACCTGCCGTCAGCTCTGCTGATATGTTGAGTGGAGCTTTGGGCTTCAGGTCAGACGACATCAAGAAATGGACATTTCATTCAGCTATTCGATGCAGCTCCAGTTTAGGAGCAGAATAATTATTTAGTCGGGGGGAAAGTGGAGCAAAAATACAGCCATATGTCAAAGTTTGGGAGCCCCAGTTAGAGTGTGTGCTGTTAAATAAGTGAAACCATCGGCCCAATCCCATTTCACCCCTCGCCCCTACCACTGAGCCCTTAGCCCTCTGTTTTGTGCATTCACGTCTAGGGGTAGGGTGTCCTGATTCTTGTTGAGATAGAGGGGTAGGGTGAAGTGTTGGGGCTACATGACCCTCCAAACAGAGGTTTTTCAGAGACTCCAAACAGAGTGTTAGAGACAAATGAAAAACTGGCTAGACGGCTGAACAAGAGACCAAAGAAACACACAAATGTGAGAATTTTCTCAGATAAAAATTACGATAACCACTGTATTATCTTAGTTTAATGTCGTTTCAGTGTATTATGGTCCTTTTCTTCATAACAAGCATAAAAAATCGCTATTAGTATGCTAACGTCTCGGTAGCCAGCTAGCTAACTTTCCCGTTCCACCTTAAATAGTCCAGCAGTTCTGACGCCTGAAGTGCCAGAATGTAACTGCTGCACCATTTAAGGTGGAACGGGAAAATTCGAACAAGAATCTGGTGAATATCTGACTTCAGCTTCAGAGGGAAGATCTCAACCACTACCCTGTAACTCAGTTCCAATGGGTGAGGAGACACTCGAAAAACAAGGGGTAGGGGTGAAAAGGAGAAATGGGACTGGGCCATCCTCTACAGAGAACAAACTTCTACGCATTTTAGTGCCCAATTAGTGTTTATTTGCTGAATTTAACATATGGGGGGGCGTTGAGACAAAACATAAAATGTGGCCATGCAAAAGTTATGGCATATTTTATAGTTTATGTTTTATTTTCCCCAATATGTTAAACTCTAAATAAATAGAAATTGTGCACTAAAATTTAGAGACAAATCAAACTTTGCATATGTCTGTATGATCCCCCTTCCAGAGGCGTCCCAGCTTAGTGTGTGTTTTGCTGGACAGTGTTAGATTTCTAAGTCACTGGTGTTCCAACTGAAGGACCTTTGGCAAAATAAAATTGACACAGAATTTTGCATCCAAAAACTTTTTAAATTTTTTTCTGGGTTACAGTGTAGTCTGCATCAGGAGATTTCAAGAGACTTCAAAGGAATAGTTTGGAGAAAAATCTGATTTGCACAGTCAGCCCCACCCCTGCCCGATTAACCCCCCCCCAAAACTTACCTCAAATCCAGTTGATCAGCCAAGGCATGTTTGGTGTCTGAAGTTCTTGCACTGAAGCTACGGGGCTAATGCAGCTAACAATTTACAGGCTTTTATTACTTTGTAGGGCTGAAGCAATTATTCAATATTTATCAATGATGTCAACAATAAAAATCATTAATGAATTTTCCTTTTGTCAATTTTTTGTTTACGTTATCAAAGAGACGTCCAACCTGGAGGTATCAGCTTGAAGAGGGCAGCAGTTCATTTGTAGTGTCGTATCTCTGTGAGCGAAAGAAAAAGAACAGTTATGGCTGAAAGTTAAAAAGAGGGAAAGTCTGGGAACATTTTCCTCAGCTGGAGGGTAAAGTTGTCACATGTAACACATCATCACTGTTGTAATAAAACCTTCATCTCCAAAGTGTTAAAAAAATCTTAACTTGGAAGTTAGTGGAACTACATTTTTGTCCACGTAGTGATGGAGCGTTTCTGGGAGATGAGAGGTTTTGTATGCAAGTCTGTCGTTACCTTCAAGCTTTCCTCTCTTGTTTCTACACTCATTGTCCATTTTATCAGCTCCACTTACTATATAGGTGCACTTTGTAGTTCTACAGTTACAGACTGTAGTCCATCTGTTTCTCTGATACTTTGTTAGCCCCCTTTTACCCTGTTCTTCAGTGGTCAGGACCCCCATGGACCCTCACAGGGCAGGTACTATTTGGGTGGTGGGTCATTCTCAGCACTGCAGTAACACTGACGTGGTGGTGGTGTGTTAGTGTGTGTTGCGCTGGTCTGAGTGGATCAGGCACAGCAGTGCTGCTGGAGTTTTTAAACACTGTGTCCACTCACTGTCCACTCTATTAGACACTCCTACCTTGTCAGTCCACCTTGTAGATGAAAAGTCAGAGAAGATAGCTCATCTGCTGCTGCACAGGTTGTGTTGGTCATCCTCCAGTCTTTCATCAGTGGTCACAGAACGTTGGTTTTTCTTGTTACAGTAGTCTTCACATTTACAGGCCACATTTAAGCCAGTTAATCAACTACTAGATGATTAACTCACACGAATAATTGAATATCAAAAAATCTAAATATGTTTGCAGTCCTAGTTACATGTATTACTTCCATTACTAAAGAAGCAAAGTTCATACATCAGTCTTGGCTGATCAAATGCAGTTGGGGGGGGGGCGGTTGGGCGGTGACTCGTGTAAATCAGATTTTTGACCAAATCATTCTTTTCAAGAGAAGTGCTGGGGCTCACAGAGCCTGCATTAGCTCAGGGCCCAGCCATCTATGGACGTTTTGAGAACAATGTGCAAAAGATCTTTTCCCATATCTGCTGATTAACCACCCTGTTCACTCCCTGCTGTGTGAACAAAGAGAAGCATGCAGAACACTAGTGGACACCCACAAGTGAGTCCTCGATGAAAGGGAGTGTACGGAGCTAAACGGATAGAAACGAAATTGTTGAGTCATTTCTGTGGGAACTTCTTTTCAGTTTTCAGAAACAGAAATATTTATTCCATTAAAACATCAATAAAGAAACTTACAGATTTCTTTCTGTTTCTTCTACAGCAAACAGGTTTTACATAGTAGAGCTACTGAGTGCTGACTGGTTAGCATTACTGCTCCTGAGTGCTGATTGGTTAGCATCACTGCTACGGAGTGCTGATTAGTTGGCATTACTGCTACTGAGTGCTGATTGGTTAGCATTACTGCTCCTGAGTGCTGATTGGTTATCAGTACTGCTACTGAGTGCTGACTGGTTAGCATTACTGCTACTGAGTGCTGATTGGTTAGCATTACTGCTACTGAGTGCTGATTGGTTATCAGTACTGCTCCTGAGTGCTGATTGGTTAGCATTACTGCTACTGAGTGCTGATTGGTTATCAGTACTGCTCCTGAGTGGTGACTGGTTAGCATTACTGCTACTGAGTGCTGATTGGTTAGCATTACTGCTCCTGAGTGCTGATTGGTTATCAGTACTGCTACTGAGTGCTGATTGTTTAGCATTACTGCTAGTAAGTGCTGATTGGTTGGCATTACTGCTACTGAGTGCTGACTGGTTAGCATTACTGCTACTGAGTGCTGATTGGTTAGCATTACTGCTACTGAGTGCTGACTGGTTAGCATTACTGCTACTGAGTGCTGATTGGTTAGCGTTACTGCTACTGAGTGCT